CTCGATAGCGTTTTCTAACGAGCGAAACGCGAGCTAACTTCGCTAATTATTAATAGTCCTTGTACAGGTATAATACACCTGTACTAAAATAAGCGAATTCAATAAAAAAAAAAAAACTTAGCATTACGTGTTGCCAAGCGTTAATTCGAATGGAACAAAATTAAAAACTATTTTTTTCTTTTTTAAGATCCGTGTTTTCAATTTTCTGGTTCTTTTAGGGGGATTTATTGGATTATACAGACATGGCAACTATAAATTAAAAACGGTGTTGAAAAACAGATGTCGCTAATTCAATTATGTACGTTTATAAAGTAAACATGTATTTTGTTTACAATATTATTGTATAACTTCTAAACACTGACATGCAATGGGTTAAGAGGTTTAAATTATAAGATAGACGAAATAGCATAAAAAATTTATTCTAAAATTAATTTTATTCCATTAAAAATTTCTGGCACAGTTATGTATATTTTAACTTGTTTGCGCTTAGATTTCTTAAATCTTTGAAACTTTCTCTAGTTCGTGTTTGTGACAAATAACCTGTTTTCAAAAAAGTGTTTATCAAACAAATAGAATTTCAAATTAGTCTTAATGAAAGGAAAAAGATTAATTTCCAACTTTTGGATTAAAAGTCTGTCGCACGTAACCAGCACATCCGAATCAGTATGACCTGCATGTTATATCGCAAATACCAAAACTTGTGTATAAAACAAAAATGACTGTAAATTTTTTATTTTATTTATTGCTTAGATGGGTGGTCGAGCTCACAGCCCACTTGGTGTTAAGTGGGTACTAGAGCCCATAGACATCTACGACGGAAATGCACCACCCACCTTGAGATATAAGTTGTAAGGTCTCAAGTATAGTTACAGCGGCAGCTCCACCCTTCAAACCGAAACGCATTACGGCTTCACGGCAGAAATAGGTAGGGTGGTGGTACCTACCCGCGCGGACTCACAAGAGGGGCCTCTTGTGAGTCCACCATTAATAATTTCTCACTATTTGCCACTGAACAATAACGAATCGTTAATTTCATAATTTCAAATTAAGTCTCAATAATACAAAAGTGATATATCACGCCGGTAATTTTCGAATAGAAAGTTGAAACAATAAATTAATATAAGAAAATTAAGCGCTACATCCTTTTAGCGCAAGAGAATAAATCAAGTTGTTATTGTGACTGTTAGCTGCCCTGGTTCGCTATTTCGTTTTGTTACAGTTATTAATGACGGCCTAGAAGATATCTATTGCTGAAATGGGTAGATAAAAATTTCCATTCAGGAAACCTGCTTGTCAATTGTTTCCTCCTAAAAAGAGCATATCATCCATCCATTTAAACTAGCGCTCAAAATCATTTTGACATGCATATTAATTAAATCACTTAGAAACAAATGTGTAACCTAAAATCAGTTTTAAAAAAAATTGAATTTCAATGTTCTACGAAATAGTAACGAATCCTTGTTCGCAACATAAAAGTGTATTTTTTCTAATGACAGAAATGATAGTTCATACGTATTTGACATTGTTGAAAAAATCAATATCTAACACATATTTACTAAGACAAGCGGTCCCCTGGTAATCGAAATTCGACTATAATTAATGGAAATTATAAGTTAGTACACTGTTATTATTATTCTATTGTCAAAGAATATTATACTTCTGTAATCACAGATTTCGCTAAGACTACACTTTAGACATATATTAATAAAGACAAACAATATTTAATCTATTCTCAATTTGACCACAGACATAAGCAATAAGAAAAGTTTCACAATAAACAAATAATATGCATGCGGGTGTGTGTCAAATATATGGTAGTGTGTGTAAAGTTTTTTATTGATTTAATGTATTTTTTACGTATATTTAAAAAAAAATAGCTTTCTGCACTTCTCTATATTCTCTATAAGTTTGGGAAATTTTATACTCTTCGGTCCACGCAATTTTCATAAAAAGGGATATAATAGCCGGCAAACTTCTTGAGCATTTGTTGACGTAGTGGGGGTAAGTTTGCGCATGGTACACTCACGTGCAAAAACATTATTTACTCTGCGTTATAATGCAATTAAATTATTAAAATCAACATATGTATTTATATATATTTATTAGAACATCAACAAAAAATATAGGTTAATAATTGTAATAATTTAATCTTGGGGTAAAATAGATATTCCTTCTATTAAGTCTAAACTAGAGCTGTTGCCAGGTCTTCGTTCAGTTGAAGCGAAGCTGGTATTTGTAATTTTTTTTTCGTTATTCTAATCTTGACCATCATCATCATCACTGTTTTCATCACCTGAGTCACCATCATCTTGATGAGTCGACATAGGGCTCATCGGTGTAGTTTACAACTCGGTCGGTTCGATCTTCTTTTTGTCTATAATTAATTATTTTTTGAAGATATTCGATTCGTAGTAATCGAATGTTACTTTTTTTCAATTACCAGCTTCCGATTATATTCTGTTTTTTTCCATCTGAAGCCTAGCTCTTTCATAATTCGTCGTAAACTTCATTCCGAGCCATTAAAATGTATATCTTCTTTAAATTTTTCGAAGCCTTTCTACGGTACGAAGTTTCGCTGCTTGTTATGTAGTTATTATGATTACATCTTTTTATCACAGATTGAACGAAACTATCCATTCCGGTAACTTTCTTCTTCCCTGATCTTTTCTTACCCGGCGTCCCAAACACGGCGAGCAAGCCAGAGCCTTTAGTTTCGTTAATAATGCACCTAACAGTACTCACTGATGTTTTTGTTGCTTCCGAAGTCTGTTTTACTTTTTCCATATCATTCTTCCCCTGTTTTATAATGAAGCAATATACGTCGTACACAATTTTTCTACCCTTTCTTTTGAATACTACACCAGTTTGTCGCGGCATAGTGTATTTTTTATAAAAAATCAACAAACACTCAACAAATAGCAATGGCAACAAAGTCAACAAGCAATTATAACAAATAACTTAACGATTAATAACGATAGACTTTTCACTGTACGCAAGCGTACTTTTGGGAGCAAGCGGAACGAGGGCGCGGTGCGGGACGCAAGGTTCGACTGATCTACCAATAACGCGCTCGATACGATTTCCCCTGCCGTCGCGCCTCACCCTCACCACCAAAGTGATCTAAAATTCGGTTCTGCGCAGTCAAGGTCATTTGCTCAAGATGTTTGCCGGTTACTATACAAAGTTTTTACTTCACTTATTAATATATAGATAAGAACTAAGTAATAAGAAAATCAAAATTATGTGGAATGTTCCTTGGATTTTATAAGAAACTTTATAAAATCGTGCCGGCATTGAATCGACTAACTTTTGGATTCGCTCCGTCGGAATTTTACCCTAATCATTTTTGAGAGCATCATAAAAAGCGTCTTTATTTAGAATATTTTTGAATTCTTATTCTGCGATCCAACTGAACCCACAAATGTAGGTCACTATAGGTCTATTCTGGACTTCGACTTGGCCACTCTAAAACGTTAACTTAAAAAAACACCAACGACCTAGGATTTGTGTTTGGAATGATTATCATGGTGAAAAACCATCTAACTCCAACTAACGATCGAACTCCAGAGCATGAAAAAATATCTCCAAACTGTCACTGCTAGTTCCATGTTTGACCGTGAAATTTTGGTACCGATAGTCATATATTTTTTATTTACATGACGTTGAAAATACTTGATACTAGTCGACTTCAGCAGATGACATTAAATAAATTTTGCTCTTGTAACTCCGCAAAATGTTAGTCACCAGTCTAAACTTACATCATGATATGTGCCTTTTTGCATGTGCAGATCTGGCCTTCTTGGTTTTTTTTCATAGATACTAAAGGCATTTTCGTTGGTCTATTGATATAGTTTCCTTTATTATTGCATTATATACTGATTAAATAAAATTGCCGAATTTCTACATGCAATACTGGAAAAATAGCACACAAGTTAGAATTCGAATTTCGAACCAGTGGTACGAATTAGATTTTAATGTATAACTCTTAATTTAACAGTCTTTACGAATATATAGTTATAGGACCACATGCCTGTTGTCATGACAACAAATTTACTGTACTTATAATTACGATAGCATTAAGGTTATGGGAATTAAATCAAATAACTCGCTTTTGGCCCCAAATTTGAAAACGACTCAGAAGACAATAAACTTCAATTCTCACGTCAAGAATAATTCAATTTTGTAAATGTAAAAGTTAAATGTGTCCGTACGTTCGACTACTTCGTCTAGAAAAATAATCTCACAACAAACGCTGTCACAGCACAGTAATGCTGTGTGCCTCAATAGCATAAAAAATCGTGCCTGTTTGTAACGTAACTGCTAGAGACTAGTATATCGTCTATAAAACCAAAAAAATTCCATTCAGCACATACCACGACATATAGGCTGCGCAAAAAAATCGTAGTTTGATTTAGCATAAAGTATCGTTAATTAATATTAATGCAAAATTGTTGTATTAAAAATTGTGTGTGAATTTGTTTACTTAATTATGAATTACGAAGTAACAAAACACTATTTCAACGAAGCGAAAACTAATAATAATACTTCCGCATGCCATAATACACAATTGAAACGCAATACGGTCGATATAAATATTATCATATTGATACTGAAAACACATTCAACGTCAATGTAATTAGTATACCGCAAAACGTAATATCTTATTCGTGGAAAATTGTATCGAAATTTTATTTACGAACTCATGTTTTGGCTTTAAGAAATACGATATTTTTCATTATAATAGAAACCTTTTTCAAGTACCTTACATGTTTTCAAAAATAAAACCTTTGCTTTCGAACACGAACAGAGAACATGAAAACTCAGTTTCACAACTAAATTAATATTTACCACCTATAGGTTATCGTGTTTCATAACTCTTTCGTAACAATCGTTCGAACCAGTTACGAGCGTACACTACACTCATTTCCTAAACATTTATAGTTCCAGTAATACGAACTTAATAGAAAGCAATTTCACGGTTATGTAATGATTCTTTACAGAACGGAGACCTTTGCATATCGATTCTCCACCCGCCCGTGGATGATCCTCAATCTGGCGAACTGCCCTGCGAACGTTGGAACCCTACGCAATCGGTTCGCACCGTACTCCTCTCTGTAATCTCACTCCTCAACGAGCCGAACACCTTCAGTCCGGCGAACGTCGATGCAAGCGTGATGTACCGCCGCTGGCGTGACTCGAAGGGCAAGGACAAGGAGTACGAGAACATTATTAGGTGAGTTTGTATTTGATCTATAATAAACGCGTCATGAGACCATTTTGCTTATAATTGATATATAGATAAAAATTAATTGCTGTTCGTTAGTCTCGCTAAAACTCGAGAACGGCTGGACCGATTTGAGTAATTTTGGTCTTGAATCATTTGTGGAAGTGCAGAATGTTTAAAAAGTAGATAAATATGAAAATGCTCGGAATTAAATAAAAATAACAATTTTGTTTTTCCTTTAATATGTCCCCCGTCTGACGGATTACTTTTGTTTGTTTTAAGTTTATTTTATACAAAAGTTTAGGTCTTTTATTTATCGATTGAGGCACTACGAAGTCTCCGGGTCAGCTGGTAATTGATAAAAAAAATCGTGTAATCTTAAAAAAAATATTGAGAAAAATTTAATATATTTATTTATTTATTCTCTGCATTACAAATCTAGGGTGAAAAGGACAGTTCGTAACGCCTCAATGATAATAAAGTACTACTTTAAAATTAACGTAAAATAAAGTTTTATTCATAGATATAAGGTAGGTGTGTCCATTAATTGGTTTGGTGCTGGAAGAAAAATATTGTGTCCAATAAATAACCGATATAGCCGATGTCCGCTCTTGATGGGTGCGATATCCGTTATTGGACTACAACTAATATTTCGACCTTAGGTAAACACATTACTATGTCTATACTCGGACTGGTAACCGCTAAACAAAAGTCGGCTCTTAGAAATCCATGTTTATTAAAACATATTATATGTTAATTTGTCTTAACCACACAAGGCAATGCGGCTAAAACTTAAGTAGACTTAAAGACTGATCTCACTCTGTCAACCGCGCTCGAAGTCGCTCTCCGTGCTTAAACAAGACTGTTGACACCAATTTTTTCTGTTTCTTTAAAATGTCCAACATAAATTATTTTAATATAAACAATTTAGTACAAAGAGAAAATAGAATCTTTAATTATTTTAGTATTATTATGTTCCTCCTCCTTGCGTCGGTTTCCTCATTACTGAGGGTCGTGGTCATGGCCTTGAACAGTTTAAATGTTTCTCTGTCCATGACTCTCTTGGGATGTAATTGTGGTGGGTTCCCACGTCCTTCCACATAATTATTATGTTAGTCACCAGCATTTTAAACCTGGCTTTGTTTTCGGAAGAGATTTTCTTAAACTGAATTTGGAGTAAATTTGAATTATCAAACAAAAGAGCTCACCGTATTATAATAACAAAAGTTGGGACAATGGTTGAAATTCCGTAACCGATAACTGACTGAATGTGCTACATTTTCTCTTTTAGCTTTCTTATTGACACTATGAAAAAATGCAAATACATTTCATTGATAAAGCTGGTCGTCAATGGATTAATACCCATTGCCAAAACATAGGAGAAGGTTGTTAATAGTAACTACGTTGTCTTTACCTTTTCAAACACAGATTTTGGGATGATTTCTTTTTCTTGTTCATTGTTAGTCTTGGTCGGTGTTTAAGGCTCTCGTCATCATAGAGAGATAAGATTGGTTTAAACACTGTTTCATGGAAGTCGTTCCTGTGGCCTTTGCGTGACGCACAAACGAACAAATACAAAGCCAAATAGTCAGACAAAAAGCACGTTGTTTTATTAAATTGCTTTGAAGAAACTAAACTATAAGCGCAAGAGTAAAAATTTTGCGTCATCATAGTTGTATTGTTGTGAATACTGTGTATGCTGCATGCTAAAAGTCATTTACTTTAAGCGTTTATTGGAAAACAAAAATAAATAGATAGATATATATCAGTGGATGTTACAACAAGTAACACATTACAATCAGTAGGTTTTACAAAAAAATTTAAGGCTAGAGCAACTAATATGGAACTGACACTTAGAACTATCTATTCTCAAGGTTAGTGGTAGCATATACGTTATTAATATTTATGGGCTCCGGTAACCACTTAACATAAGTTGGGCCATCAGCTCGTTCACCCATCTCCCTCACTTAAACGCGAATATCATAGCACACTGACCTTGCACACACGCACACAGAATCATTTGGCAGCCAATAAACTGACAAGCGTTAACTAAGCTTATCGACGTCAGCGATTAAAAAAATGACACGGTCTCAGTTCAATGACATGTAAATTATAAAAAAAAACACTAGTCCACTGCATTCTTTTGATAAAAACGTCTTTCTGTAACAATTTTTTTAACTAATTAATATTCCATATGACGTACGTACACGATACCACACCGGAACCCACTGAGTTTCTCGCCGGAACTTTTCAGTTTAGAAGTCGCGTTTCCGATACGGTGATAGATTCTGCGAAGCACTGCTCTTACTAGGGCTAGTGTTAGCCAATTCTCTCAAGTTGATTCCGTGAGCTCAACTAACCGTCTAAGCGTAGCTGGAATAGCCCCTTAAGCTACCAGCGAATGGGTAGAGAAAAAATGACTAATCAAACAAGTTGCGACCTGACACGTTCAAATATTCGCAGATAAACCGTTCCCACTATAGTCAAGACCGTGTCCGATAGTGTTCTATTTGAATAGAAATAATAACGAATTTAGTGCTAGTGTTAACAACTTCACCAAGTTAGAGCCCCGTTAGCTCACCTACTCGCCCGGTTACGCTGGATAATCCCTAGGTTTACCAGCTTAGGTAGGAAAAAAAATACGACGCCGAGGCGAACATTGACGTATGTACACCGGATGTATAATCCTTCAGGCGACGACAATTTTTCACTTCCATCTCCGGTCACCGTCCTCGCTGAATCCGTCGCTTGCGACGAAGGGCTCGGCTAGTAAATTAACCTACAGACACAACCCACTGAGCTTCTCGCATGATCTTCTCAGTGGGTCGCGTTTTCGATCCGGTGATAGATTCTGCGAAGCACTGCTCTTGCTAGGGCCAGTGTTAGCAACACCTCCGGTTTGAGCCCCAAGAGCTCACCTACACGCTAGGGTAACGCTGATATAGCATCTCAAGGCATAAGTAGGAAAAAAAACTTCGAATTTGCCTATGCCCAGTTTCAAGGGTGGGGCAGCCGTTATCCTAAACAGTCAAGACTTTGACCTCATGTTTCAAGCTGAATGGCGGCATAGATCTTGCGATGCCCACAGTCTCAGCTAAGAATTCAGCACAGCTGTGAGTTCGCTTCACCGTCTGTGCAATCAAAAAAAATTTTAACGACAATACGAGTCGTATAATAATACCCACTATTGTGTCCTAGGTGTGTTTGTGTGTGTTTTTATTTTCTTGATGTGCAATAAAGCTTATCCTACTCCGTCTAGCTACTAACATTTTATTGTGTTGCAGCAAACTAATACATAATTCAATAGATTTAATTACACATTATTGTGCAGTAAAAATTACATTAAAACTAACAATACCTGAACAAAAAACTAAAATTTAATTGAGAGCTTTTCAATATTATTACTGGATTGTTGTTACGTTTTATTTTATATTGTCGCATTTGTTTACTGTTTTCATTTATTTAAAAAAAATACCGAAATGTTGGTTCGATATCAAACGGTAATTTAAGCATTATGGTAGATAGAATATTAGAATAGTCACCTTGTTAGCTACTTTATATGCGAATTCGAACGCTCCTTGTTTGAAACTTGTGCTCATGTTTATTTGATTTTCATCAAGGTTTCTGGATAGCGGCCTCGTGTCAAGGATGTAATATCGGGTGTAGTCTTTTTTGGTAACTAATATTCTGCTTGTCTGACATTATTTGTCTTGTAGGATCCCAGAAACCGCTGTCGGTGCTTTTAGGTTCTTCAAACATCGGTCCTTGTTGAACTCGTTCACCGAGTCATCTCAGTGGGTCGTGATTCCGATCCGGTGGTAGATTCTGCGAGGTATTGCTAGTTAGGGCCAGTGTTAGCAGCTCTCAGGTTGAGTCCGTGTGCTCACCTACCAGCCAGTTTGTTGCTGAAATAGCCCCTTAGGCTATCAGCGAATAGGTTGGGAAAAAATATATTTGAAATTCAGTATCACACTCTTTGCCACAAGTAAAAGATGCGGCGAAGTAAACGAGACATCGGATTCCAAGATGAGCAATGGCGTTCAGGTTGTGATGTCTATTAAAATTAATAGCAGTAACTCAAGTAGGTAGAAACTGCATACCAATATTATCTTCTGTCTAGTCTAGACTTGATCCATAAAGCCAATCAAGCTTGTCGCCCAATGGTAAACATATGCGAAACTTGTTTATTAGTAACAATATTTTAGTATAATGTCCCAAATAACATTTTAATTCAACCACTGATAGTGTTGAAATTTAGGGGGGAAAAACAATATAATTAATTGCATTTATAAAGTTCAAGTTACATGCAGTAAACGCCTGAGTTATAACTAATGAATTCCGCAATAATTTCAATTAGTGAACGTAATGCTGATATTTCCTAACGCATTTTTTTTATTGCTTCGATGGTTGGACGAGCTCACAGCCCACCTGGTGCTGAGTGTTTACTGGAGCCCATAGACATCCACGACGTAAATGCGCCACCCACCTTGAGATATAAGTTCTCAAGTATAGTTACAACGGCTGCCCCGCCCTTCAAACGAAACGCATTACTGTTTCACGGCAGAAATAGGCAGGGTGGTGGTACTCACCGACGCGCGGACACACAATTCCAATATAAAAGTGGTTCAATTTTGATCTGTTCGTAGTTTTTCATGCAGCATTTCAATGAGTTGAAAAAAAAATCGTTTATCCCGGTTCGATCATGGACGTCAGAGTTCGCGGGGCTAAAGAGTGGAACTCGTCCCGACTAAATTGAATTCATAAAGCTGATGTCATCAGTACGATCAAACAACGCATTCTAAACGTCGCGCACGGTGTTCGTGTATCATATTATAATTTAGGCCGTGAACAACAACGACTGCGTGTACTTTACGAACGTCACTTTGAAATAAAACGGAATGCGCCTCTTGTTTCAGCTCTTCTCGTTTCTAGCACAATTCTCAATGACGTCTTCGTGGCCTAGGAGATAAGACGTCCGGTGCATTCGTGTTGAGCGATGCACCGGTGTTCGAATCCCGCAGGCGGGTACCAATTTTTCTAATGAAATACGTACTCAACAAATGTTCACGATTGACTTCCACGGTGAAGGAATAACATCGTGTAATAAAAATGAAATCCGCAAAATTATAATTTGCGTAATTACTGGTGGTAGGACATCTTGTGAGTCCACGCGGGTAGGTACCACCGCCTAGCCTATTTCTGCCGTGAAGCAGTAATGCGTTTCGGTTTGAAGGGTGGGGCGGCCGTTGTAACTATACTTGAGACCTTAGAACTTATATCTCAAGGTGGGTGGCGCATTTACGTCGTAGATGTCTATAGGCTCCAGTAATCACTTAACACCAGGTGGGCTGTGAGCTCCGTCCACAGATCAGAACAATAAAAAAATAAAAAATAAAATTGTAGAGTAGAACGTTGTTTCTAAACGTCCATCCAACTTGTTAATATGTGTAGTCCGCGCTTTCTTTTAACACTACACCTACAAGTATCGTTAAATTTTACCGTTTTCAATTTGTTTGTATAATTTACACATTTAAATGTTACAGTACTGTAAAAGACAATTCGTAAAATATGAATATATATATTTATTTATTTCATTCTCATAGTTTTCTTTTTTAATTCTCTAAAAAAAGACATACCATTATCTTCATTGGGCAATAAAATCGATAACTTTTTTAATTACCGATCAATTCGACCGAGCCCGTTAGGAATAGGTATACAAGAATTGTCAGTAGTAGTTTGGAGGTTAATATTTTGAAGAATACGAAGATGGTTTATATATAATAAATACTCGCACTTTAATTCTGCACATTGAACTTTAATAAGGAAGACCACTACCGCATATAATGCAAAACTCGCTCTGTCGATACAATTACTAATTATTATAAATAAATAAATAAATGTCACGTGTAATCATGAAGTATGTGGTGTGAATGTTATAATTCATGACGAAGCTGTTTATAAACTTCATTTATGTGTTCGATTAAATCAGAACTCAATTGGATATTTTCCAAATAATTCTTACGCTGATTGATCGCTTTCAAGTTAAAATATAACTTATCTGTTCGCCTTGTGAATTTCCTAGAGAAAAATACACCTCATTTCGGATCCTGCCGATACACTACCGGTGCTTCTAGGTACCACAAGCACGTTCTCGTCGAACCCGTCGGTTGCGATGAAGGGTTCGGCGTGTCAATTAACTCACAGACACAGCCCACTGAGTTTCTCGCCGGATCTTCTCAGTGGGTCGCGTTTCCGATCCACTGGTAGATGTTCTGACCTCGGAGGGGATCGGTCGCTTGGGCGAAGAGTGTAGGGGAGTCGTTTAGTGGGTAAGGCCCTAAAATTCCTTGGGCTCGCGGTCTGCTCCCAACACCTTGCAGATCATCAAGTCCCACATACCCTGAGCGCCCCCTAGGCGCGGGGACCTCGTGGAAGTATCGGCCCCCGCCCGAAAAAAAATAATGGTACGATTATTTTTTCTTGCTAGGGCTAGTGTTAGCAACGTCCTCAGCTTGGAGCCCTGTAAGCACACCTACACGTCAAGGAAAAGCTGAAATAGCCTCTCAAGGCTATCAGCATAGGTAGAGGAAAAAAAAGGGTTTCAAAAGTCCTCTGTTCTTTAAATAGGTAGCAGCCTTGAAGTTTTGTCGATAACGTCTGAATTAGCGCAGTCGTTTTGTAGATTAAACGGGATCTAAAGCCAGAGAAAACTTCCTGGATGACATCATGGAGTCAATCCAACTACTACCAGAATACAGCATTGTGGTTACAGTAGAATTAGTATTCCTCTTATGTGTGTATATATAACCACGTTTATTGCACTCAATTGCCATCTTAAGTACTGATGTTACTTATCGCACGGGTTGATACAAATGTCCTGCCTTTTTTCGCCGCAATCTTTAGTCCCGGGCGGATGAGCATTTATTTTGAAGTAACTAAAACTTCTCCATAATGTTTGTTTTATTGCTCATGGTGGGCGGACTAGCTCACGGGCCCACCTCAAGGGACTTGTCACCGAACATCATAGATCAAAACCACAAGGCAAATGTCATTTGTTTTGCCTCACGTAATTACATAACATGAGGCGGACTGCGAGCTCTTTGTTCTATCGATACAATATAGATCCTCGTCCCTGAGTCGCATTCTTCATGTCTGAGGATCGTCGCCATCTCCTACCATTATCTCTCTCTGGATGATGTTCGCCATCTTCGTCTGCTCTCGGCGGTGTGTATGGCATCGTAGAGCGTGGTATCCAAAGTGGAGCGGATTTGGTCACTATAAATACCTATCGTAGAAGATATTAACCTGACAACACCATGGCCACCCAGCGCTCATGAAACGGTACCCTGTTACCGAAGAGACTAAATATCTTCTAAAAGACTGAGACGAAAGGACGTGGGGACCCACCGTTTAATTAACTCCCAAGAAAACCTCTCTAACCATGAACACGATATAGATAATCTATACGTCTTTCTATACGCTATACTAATATTATAAAGAGGAAAGATTTGTTTGTTTGTTTGGATAGGCTCCAAAACTACTGAACCGATTTGAAAAATTCTTTCACTGTTTGGGAGCTACACTATCCCCGAGTGACATAGGCTATATTCTTTTTTATAAAAAATATAAAAAAATAGATAAAAAAATGTATCATTTAAATGAAAATAAAAGTTCATTAAAATAATAATATTCAAACCATGTTTATGATTTTATTTTTTTAGTAACCTGACGCAAATAGAAGAGTTGATGTGTGTGTATTATAATTGTTTGTTTTGAAATTTTCGTTAAGACCCGAGCGAAGCCGGAACGGGCCGCTAGTATAAAATAAATCTATTTGTTTTTGTTTATTTGGAATCCCGAAAATTTATGTTTCTTTGTTAAATCTTTCAGGAAACAAGCGCAAGTCGCCCGTATGGAGGCTGAAAAAGAAGGCATAGTAGTACCGCTGACACTAGAAGATTACTGCATTAAAACACAGGTCAAGTCAACGACGCACGAACCTCAGGTTTGTTTGAAATATGTATTTACTAGAGGTCCCGCAGTAGTCGAAATTCGACTATAATTAATTGGAATTGTAAGCTTGTACACTATTATGATTGTATTTTATACTTCTATAATCACAAATTTCGCCAAGACTACACTATAAAAAATATTAACAAAGACAAACAATATTTAATCTATTCTCTCTAATTAATCTCAATTTGACAACAGACGTCAAGAACAAAAGTTTGACAATAAATAGTATGCATGCGTATTGCGTCAAATACATGGTACCTATGTATTGTGTGTAATGTTTTCTTTATTGATTTAATGTATCTTTGATGCATAATTTAAAAAAAATATTAGCATTGTGCACTTCTTCTCTATATTCTCTATAAGTATGGGAAATTTCATACTTCTCTGTCCGCGCAATTTTCACAAAAAAGTTTTTGCACAAAGTTTTTGCTTCACGTATTAATATATAGATGTATGCGCATTTTGTGTAATCAATTAGGTACTAACAACAGCAACTGCACAAGAACTGCGCCGTTTTGTAATATGAAAAAAAAATTTGACGAAATGTGTTTTGTGTAATCAATACTTCATAGAAATACCGGTTTTAGGTAAAATAATAAATTTCTAATTTGAAACGTGTTATGTGCCCTGTTTTTTTATGCTATTTAGACATAATCACTTCTAGATAATTCTGAAGAATAACGTAATTTCAATGAAACAAAACTGTTTTCAGACAAAAGGAAAATGAAACAGTTTTATGACACAAGATGTATTTTAAAAACGTCGGCCGTCAATTTGAAATTAACGGTTTAGTTGTCACGGCTCTTGCGTAACGTCTAAGGTCTATTGGATAAGATGCCTAGCCTGTTTGATTATCCCAATGCTTAAATCTTTCAGAAAACTGAAAAAAAACATGCATGTGAAACAATTGGTTTTGAATTGATCTCTCAAACGAGAACGATAAATATAATAATATAATGTGTAGTATAAATCAGTAATACGAGTATTCATTGTTATTGGTAAACATGCATCGGCCACGTGATACATGTTTTCGCATATAAAATCACGGGTAGGTACATACACACTCTTTGCCAATAAATATAATTATACTGTTTATATTTGCTTGCAGAAAGAAGTCTAACTATTGGACACATGCAATACCACTAGGTAATATTATTATTTTTTGTGAAAACAGCTGGACATGACTGATTTTTACGACGACGATTACGACGACCTGGACACGGATTCGGATGAGGAGCTCGAGGGAGGTGACGGTGACGGCGACGACAGCGGCAACGGGGAGTCGTGAGGCCGCGCCCCCGCGCCCCTCTGCCGCCACGTCCCGACCAAACGTGTACGGACCTCTATACATTATGTAGCACATCACTAATAAACGTGTTGTCCTATATCAATATTAGAAGAAAAAAAAAACATGAAATCACAGATAATATAGAAATAAAAAAAAAAAATAAAAAAACTGTCGGTCAGATTGTGTTTCAAGAACTCTATGTAGCAAGCACATCACTAATAAACGCGTTGTACTATATCAACATTAGAAGGAAAAAACATGAAATCACAGATACAGAATTTAAAAAAAAAAAAATTAAAAGAACTATCGTACAGATTGCGTTTCAAAATTTCGTAAAAAAAAAAACAAAAAAGTTTTAATATTTTCAACGTTAATTTGTACGATACTACAACAACAACAAAAAAAGAAACTATGTTTAAGAAAACAACGATTCACGCATGTAAATAAAGTTTAGGTACCTACTTGAAGCGACGTTTGAGAAAATAAGTATTTAAGTAGTCCGATCGTACGCGGATCGGAATACTAATAACGCTATCTATACACAATTTATTTAATACGTTAGCTTGTTAACTGACATAGTTTTAAATAAAATTTTCATTTTGCGTAGCTTATTTAGTATACGTACGTAATGATAAATTCGATGGGAAACTATTGTAGATGTGACATGAATGTGGCTGTATTCATGAATCGTATCGAATGCTTCTAATTATATTCATAGTAGTAGCTGATTAATAAAACTGATCGTCGTTTATACAAAACATTTAATGTGTAATAAAATAAAAACAACGCTGTAATATTAATTTAAGGATGTTTTGAAAGGGTACACAAAATAATGAAAAACGCTATAAACATATTGCTATTTGAAGCGATACGTCAGTAGGTTAGAAGTAAATTAACAGGGAATGTAAATGAGGTAACAGGCTCTCAATTGAGAATTTACGATGATTCGAATTACGATCTTAACTCTTTGAATCGAGGTAGACTTTTGGTACGATATTCGATCTAATTGATTCTGGTACTACCCAATTGATTAGGTCTTTTTACAATCACATCGATGCCAGTACGGGGCTCGTTCGTACTAAAATGGACTGCACTTATCTACAATACGTTTCTGAGAGATCATTTTGCAAATGACCTAGTGGTAAGACCAATTGCTCTATGGCAAACCAGAGGGCCGCAGAAGTCGTGACAGACCCAAACGCCGATGGTTGGATGGCGTGGAGCGCGACCTCAAAAATATCGGCGTCAAGAACTGGAAGGAGAAAGCCCTGAACAGAGCAGTCTGGAGAGACATACTGGACCAGGCTAAGGCCCACCCTGGGCTGTAAGGCCTAAGATGATGATGATGAAGACCTCTTGTGAGTCCGCACGGGTAGGTACCATCACCCCGCCTATTTCTGCCGTGAAGCAGTAATGCGTTTCAGTTTGAAGGGTGGGGCAGCCGTCGTAACTATACTTAGATCTTAGAACTTATATCGCAAGGTGGGTGGCGGTATTTACGTTATAGATGTCTTTTGGCTCCTGTAACCACTTAACATCAGGTGGGCTGTAAGCTCGTCCACCCATCTAAGCAGTTTTTTTTAAAAAGCTGTTGCTCGGCTTTGCTCCCGGCGCTTACGATGTCCATTCAAATAGCATTGTATATACAGCGTGTGCAAAATCCGTGTCCAATCTACGTTAATAGAAATGCTCAACCAAAAAGGTCCTTGTGCGGACAATAATAAAAATCAATGCCGGAAGATATTTAGCAAAAATTCTAATTTAGCCTTAGACAAAACTAATTTCAATGAGTATAATCGACCGCTACTAGTCCACAGAGTGTCGCCACTATATTTACGAAGTTCGCCGCAAACTCTTGTGTCCATAATTTAAGTTAAACTTAATATTCAATTTGATCTGTCTTCGTCATTATAAATACTGACTAAGTAAGTAACTAATTGATATATGTAGCCTACATTTCCTGTTAATTTATTTTTGATCATCATTTGAAATCTAGCGGTGTAAATAAGAGAAGCAAACGCGTCAATTCAATTTAGAACACTTCACATTTTGAACAAAACTGAATGTTTGAATATTTGAAACATTTTCAATTGTATCCTGTAACAAATCTAGTTCTGTCATAGGAAATTGTTGATTTTGAATTGTAAATTGTAATAAAAATCACATAACAGTAGATTTGGTATATATGACAAGGACTTTTTTTTTTAATAAAAGAAAAATATGATTCTCAGCGAGACCGAACTAAGAGGGCAACGGAGAGAAGGTTGAAGGAAAGTATTTAGTGTTGTTACTGCTTACTGATTCTCAGTGCAAAGACATAATGCTTTCAGATCTGAAACCCTCTAAGGTAAATCTAAGAAAATATTTTTATTATAGAAGTAATGGAATAAAAATATATTGTTGAAGGGTTAATAAAAGGACATGTAGCATGTAATTTATCGAAACAGTACGTTGAGATAGATACCTAGTAGCACTTCAATGGATTGAGTGCTAGTTTTTCTGTGGAATTCACCACGAATACGGATGCGAACGCATTGTAAAATAGATACATGCGAGGTGACAACGAGACGTATTCGCTTGAGAGTTGGTTCCGTGTCAGGCTACATTCATACATTTAAGTCGAATTTTTTTTTATTGCCTTTGCAGGCAGACGAGCGTACGGCGCACCTGATGGTAAGTGGTTACTGTCGCCCATGGACTTCAGCAATGCCAGGAGCAGAGCCAAGCCGCTGCCTACCTACCTACCTATTTTATAAAATGCATTGTCCATAAGATCTAAATGTATATACATACTAAATTCTGAACTTAATAATTAATAGTTGGTGGCATCGTTTAGAGTTTCGTCATGCCCTTTTTTTGGTTGGTTATGACTTGAATAAGTATTCGCGGAAAAGTTTTGTGATATAGGTTTTTTTTGTCCTACCTATTCGGTAATAGCCTGAGGCTATTCCAGTTACCGCAAGTGTAGGTCAGCAGCTCACGGGCTCAACTCGAGAGGATTTTGCTAACATTAAGCCCTAGCAAGAGCAGTGCTTCGCGGAATCACTGAGAAGAATCGGCGAGAAACACAGTGGGCAATGACAAAGACTTCAAATAATATTGATAAGATACACATTTTTAATCATTAGTTTTTACAGAGATTGTCTGGTACAGGCGATTGCATAAGTGCATGGATACCTTAAGGTCAATATTCGCCTGAACACGACGGTGATCACCGATAATACAATTCGAACACATAAATGGCGCCGTTTCTCCTGTTAAGGAAAAAAGTTTGGATTTGTCTATGCACTTTTGCTACATATAGTACATATAATGACGTCGTACCTGTGAATCGACTGACTCCCAACAATGTATATTATTAATTGTACATTTTAAAAGTCAAATGAACAGTAGTAGAAATACTTAGAATCCTTAGAATTTGTACTAAACGAATAAATGTTGCGTAATGTTTGTGTAAAGCGAAATGTATTGCACATTAGCTGTGTTGAACGAATGAAAATGTTCGATAAATTGTGACGCCATTAATATAGATAAACGTTTATTATTGCAGTCAGTCGCCAGTGCTTAACTTATATTATATCAGATGTCTCAATAATTGATTAGAATATAATCGACGCTTGAAAGGCAAAAGTGACTAAGCGACAATAACTGCTCTGTACATAAATGATAGGCAATAACAATTTTCGATGTGCAAAAAAAATATATTTATAGGTTTATTAAAATCATTTCAATCCTACAGCTACTAGCTAGACTCGTTAAAATCAATTTTGTTTTCAGTTATTTCAATTTTAAATTAGTCTACTGTAAAGTTCACGCATTGTCGCTTAGTCACGTTTGCCTTTCAAGCGTCGTTTATATATATTTTAATTTATCGTACCATATCCATCAAATGCTGACGATTCGTTCCCTAATTCTTGATGCACGTTGCAGCAATAGGCGAGAACTTAGTGCGTAGTTCAATGTACTTGATGTATAGTAGTCGTAGATGGTTAATAATATTTTGAAGAAAATATCGGATTCAATAAAGCACTAATGACTATGCCGGAAACCTTAATGCATTTTTTTTTCATTAATTGTTTAATGTTTAAAGTTGTCAATCCTGCTTGCCTATAATAGAGTCAATTTTTAATAGAACCCAGTTGCTTGTAATACATAAGTGTGTCACTTACATACCTGCTATTGATTTTTATTTCAAATTCCTCCAATGCTTTGCTAAATTAGGAAATGTAGTGTTGGCAAAAGAGTCTAAATTTATATTACTTATATGATTACTGTGCTTGTAAACATTTGAAAACTGTGTTGATTTAGATAAAATGTATTCTGTAATTTAGTTAGTAGGATTAGCAAAATTAAGCATCCTGCTAAAAATAGCTTTTTTTTTCAGAACAATGACTTTTCTTTTTCTGATATTTGTTCTCATGTTCAAGATTGAAAAATAGAATTAAAAAACCATGTTATGTCTAATATGTGTATTAACTAAACGCGTTTTGTTTAAAATGGCGTCTTCAGTATGTTACGTTAATTTACTTACCTATCGTATCTAAGCATTACAGAAGAATTCTTTAGTTTCACCGAGATGAATTTAATGATAGGTCATTTTTAAGTTTTAATTAAACAAGTTCAATTGTAAAATTATTGAATGAAATTATGTTTGTACTTTCTCTCTCTCTCTCTCTCATTGAAAAGTTAAGATTTAAGTAAAATAATAGGCGGTTTGGAAAAATAACGTAGGCAAATTAAAAGGCAAGAACGTTAAGTAATAACTACTTGATTATATTAAATTTAATAAAACAAATGTGTTTTGATGTAAGTTTTTAATTCCATTTAAACGTACCTACCCAAGTCGTGGCCTAAGATTAAGACTAGGTTTTTATTTTTTTATTGCTTAGATCGGTGGACGAGCTCACAGCCCACCTGGTGTTAAGTGGTTACTGAAGCCCATAGACATCTACAACGTAAATGCGCCACCCACCTCGAGATATAAACGAAGAGTATAGTTACAACAGCTACCCCACCCTTCGAACCGAAACGCATTACTGCCTCACGGCGGAAATAGGCGGGGTGGTGGTACCTTCCCGTGTGGACTCCCAAGAGGTCCTACCACCAGTGATTACGCAAATTATAATTTTACCGGTTTGATTTTTATTACACGATGCTATTCCTTCACCGTGGAAGTCAATCGTGAACATTTGTTGAGTACATATTTCATTAGAAAAATTGGTACCCGCCTGCGGGATTCGAACATCGATGCATCGCTTCAAACGAATGCACCGGACGTCTTATCCTTTAGGCCACAACGACTTCAAAATATATACTGACCACCATTTTACTGAGACTATATTTAATCCAATATTATCTCATTTCATTTAATTTCATCCCAGTTGATTAATGTCTCAACTTAATCATCTTCGTTTAATTTCACTGCATGCTATCATTTTTCATAAAAATAAGAATATAAATTTTAATAAGACGTGACTTAAAGGTCTTAGTTACCAAGTCATAAAATCCATTAAAAAAAGACAAATACACAGAGTTTTTGGCGGAAACGCGAGGAGTGAAGTTGTATTTCTCCCATATCATCTCGTCTCACTTCATTTCATTCCATGTTTCATATAATAAAAGTTTTCATTCAAATTAAAATAAGACGACCTAAAGGTCTTAGTTACCAGGTCGTAAAATCACATAAAAAAAGATATTGTACAGAGTTTGTACAGGTGTACCCATAGATTATACACATAATATTTGAGAAGTGTGCCTGCCTAGCTCCAAAACAACATCCGGAGTTCTTTACGTTTCTACCTATTTATTAATATATATGTACGGTACTTTGAAAAGTTATTGAGAATAGCAAAGTACATAAACATTAGTTTATATGGTTTTTAAGGCAAAAAGATGAGTTGTGCTAGCGAATTATCTCAGTCGCATGAGTATCTAAGTTTCCGAAGCAGCATTCCTTTAAGAAAAATCGTAGTAGACTCCGATAATTCCAAGGTAATCTAATTTATTTACAATTTTCTCTACATTGTTTAAAGATTACTAACGTAATTTACCGTAAAACATATATAAATTATTACAATAACAGACGTGCGCTGAATAAAAGTAAATCAAAATTTGAAAACCAAAAGAGAACACAAAATAACAGCAGCAAGCAGGTGCCAGGGTTAAGGTCCAACAACATAGAAAATAAATCAAAGGCTTTACTAACTGTATGAAGAACCCAGTCAGAAGTGTAGGTGCTTCCTTAAAGATTCTTGAGTAGTCTAAAAACGGGTTAAAAAGAGTAACTGAGTCGTCACCCAGTTGCTCTTACAGATAAACAGGTTGCCACTTTCACAGATGATGCCTTGAGAGTCAAAAAAATTATTCATGACTCAAAGAAAACACAAATTATATATATTTCATCAGTCACTCAATGTTTGCTTTTAATAATATTTAACCATCTCTATATAGCACAATTATGTGGACTAAAATGATATGTCATACTATTTTTGGTGAAGCAACTTTCTTGCTTACATTCAATCAACAGCAGTAATCTAGCTTCTGACATAACTCTTAAATATCATTAGTTTAGTAGAAACCTTTCTCCATGCTATTCTTAAGTATAAAATGAAATTATCATCATATAAAGAATCGCAGCATCTAATACTGTATCAAAGTGCTCAGAGAAGTTCACCTTAGTCTCAAGAGATTGAATATGATAATAGTCCTGTAAACATACACAAGGGTTGCAAGTCCAGTGGCATTCTCAAAGTCCCTCTATCAGCAACATGATGAACTCTGCACCTACACTATGAATGCTAAGCAATGCTATGAATTGCTAAGATATTTGTCTCATATATGATAAGGATATATGATAATGAATTGTAAACATTGTTTGTAGTTGAATTTTACTATTAAACTTAATAATGATGTACACACATACAACATGTGACTGAAAAACTAATTTTATAAAGCCATAGATGAAAAGGGCTCTAAGTAAAAATCTATTGTTTTGCAGGCATGGAAAATATTTGATAGTGGACCAAGGTCAGTTGCATGTCCTTTAATATGTTTACCTCCAGTTTCTGGAACAGCTGATATTTATTACAAGCAAGTTATGGGCCTAGCATCACGAGGCGTTCGAGTCATATCTGCAGAGGCTCCTCCTTATTGGAATTTAAAAGAATGGTGTGATGGTTTCAAAAGACTCATTGATATATTAGAGCTTGGTAAAGTGCACATATTCGGAGCATCTTTAGGTAAGTTATTTCATGAAACAATAATATTTAGCTATTATTATAAGATATATATAGCTAGAAATGCAATTCTCTAAATAATCCACTTTATTGCTTATATGGGTTGATGAGGTCACGGTCCACCTGTTGCTAAATAGTTACCGGACCCCATAGACATCTACAACATAAATGCCATCATCCGTATTAAGAAAAGATTTCTTTTTTATTTTTTTTATTCTATGCTAATAGCCTTAAGTCTACGGGCACGAAATTTGCGATGGCTGAGCGATGGCGGCAGCGGGGCGACGCGACACGGAGCGGGTAGGCAGCGATATCTCGCGCGGGCACGAAACAAGCTGGCGGGCAGTCGCGCTTGAGCAGTGTTGTGCGAATCATGAGTTTACGTCGAAGAGAACTATTGGAGCCTAGTCTCCTATTGAGAGAATTATTATTACCTAGAGATGGTGTTCATCCAATAAATCAACGAAGACGCAATTTGGGAGAATATTCTACGCTTTATTACGAGCTAAGGTGTCATTCAATGAAATTTTAAATTCTTTGTTAAATTATAAATTCCTCATTATCAATTTCCATTACTAAAATAAGAACTGAACACAACACTGTGTACCCGCGGAAGCGATGAAACCAAAGTAGTTTGTTCTCGTCGCTTCCGCGTCGCCGTCGCCCCATCATCGCCCGTACATCGCTCGATCGCCCCGCTCCGCCATAGCCCGTTTCGTGCCCGTCCCCATACTGTGCAATGCTTTTGTATACATCGCCGTCGCGCCGCTGTCGCCATCGCTCGGCCATCGCAAGTTTCGTGTCCGTAGACTAAGAGGCTATTTCAGCTTCACCCTAACGTGTGTAGGTGAGCTCACGGGGCTCAAACCATAGTGTTGCTAACACGACCCTAGCAAGAGCAGTGCTTCGCAGAATCTACCACTAGATCGGAAACGTGACCCACTGAGAAGATCCAGCGAGAAACTCAGTGGGCTGCGTCTATGGGTTAATTCGCTCGTCGAGCCCTTCGTCGCAAGCGACGGGTTCGACGAGGACGGTCACCGGGAAGATTTCTAGTCTCCATTTTAACAGTACATAATATTATTATATACTTGTTATATGTATATAATAGATTAGTATAAATTTATCTACATCAAAATATCTAAAAAAAAGATAGTCAGACGACAAAGATAGTCAGACGAGAAAGAAGAGTCAGAGATCACACTAGATTTGATCATGTTTTAATATTTATTCCTGTTCTAATTTTAGGAGGATTCATAGCCCAAAAATTTGCAGAACTGACCAGAAATTTTCCTCGTGTCGTATCACTTGTTCTGTGTAACACATTTGCGGATACGTCTGTTTTTGAATACAATGACTCAGCAGCGTTATTTTGGTTACTCCCATCACTAGTTTTGAAAAGAATGTTAATGGGAAATTTTACTACTGACAAAGTCGATACACGTATGGCCGAGTCAATTGATTTTATGGTTGAAAAGGTAAGCTGAAAATTTTAGTTTTATAAGTTAATTTTAAGTGCATAGAAAGCTTGGCTAACAGTTTTAAGCTAGCTTTTTGGCATGGATGAAGTATTAAAAACATTGTTGATGGCTCCTGCTCTAAAAATACAATAATAATGCTGGTGTTCCACAAAAATCAGTGCTCTCTTCACTCTTGTACATCAATGTCGTTCTGTCAATGGACACACCTTTTGAAAAGAGCCCTTAACAGCAGATAGTGACAATTTGGCAATGCCCCTTGCACTGCTGATGTCTATAATCATTCACAGTCAAGTTATTTTTAGAGATTCAGCCCCAAGGTATATTTTCCTGAATTATGATGCACAAACAAGACAAGAATGAATATACTGGTGGTAAGACCTCTTGTGAGTCCACGCAGGGTGGGTACCACCACCCTGCCTATTTCTGCCGTGAAGCAGTAATGCGTTTCGGTTTGAAGGGTGGGGCAGCCGTTGTAACTATACTGAGACCTTAGAACTTATATCTCAAGGTGGGTGGCGCATTTACATTGTAAATGTCTATGGGCTCCAGTAACCACTTAACACCAGGTGGGCTGTGAGCTCGTCCACCCACCTAAGCAATAAAAAAAAAAGATATTTGGAATCACTATTCAATTGAGACTTCAACATCATTCCTCAAAATGGGTGACAGTGTTCACTTAGAGATGTTTACGAGCTTAAGCAACTAGCACAGGGATGGGTTGTGGAATTGTCTGCTCATGTAGTCATTAGCTAATATTGCAATAGTCTTTACAATACTATTATGCATTAGTGATAGTAGATAAATACAATTTATGTTTTGGCAGCTAGAAACTCTGACGCAATCAGAATTAGCATCTAGATTGACATTGAACTGCACTCCGAATTATGTGCAACCACATTTATTAAGCGACATTCCAGTTACGATTATGGATGTTTGGGACGAAAGTGCACTTAGTTCACACGTACGTGAAGACTTGTATAAATCTTACCCTCATGCGAAGCTAGCGCATCTCAAGAGCGGTGGCAACTTTCCTTATCTTAGTAGAAGCGACGAAGTTAATTTGCATCTGTTGGTATGTATAAATTAAAATAAATATGTATATGATTTTTTTAATAATTTCTTCGGACTTAATGATGTTCTAAAAAGCACATTTTTTGCAGATACATTTAAGACAGTTTGATGGTACAGAGCTTTCGTCGTCGTATCTCAGTTTGCACAAAATGCCGCCATCCCAATCTCCCACAGACTCGGAAGAGAGCCCCATCAACTATTTTAACCAAAGTGAAAAATATGTGCAAATTTCATGAAAATTTATGCAAATTCGCATCGACTCTTTGTTTCGTAAATTGTTTAGCAACGGTTCATGTCGGTCATTGATCTAAAAGTAAGTTCTCGACAGTAGCTTGATAACAAATCATGCTTAAAAATAATTTAGATGTTTCAGTTGAGTACCTGCTTATATTATATATATCATTATGATTTGATTCAAAGATTGACATAAAAAATTAGATTTAAGGTAGTTATGATTATATAATTAAGAAAACTATTTTTATAACTGGGGTACATATTTAAAGATATGCATGATATGATATGTAATGTGATATTACAAATTATTGATTGTATGGGCTAAATTAGACTGAATTAATCATTAATGTTTTCTATGAAGTGCAATCATTCCTATTGTTATTTGTTTTAATATTTGAAGCTAAAACTAGTCTGATCGTGGGATAGCATTTAGGAAGGAAATAATAAATTTTGGAAACTTTTAAACAATATTTTTATTTTGTCTCTATTTTGACCGAACTTCAAAATCTGGTAGCATACATTATTTATATCCATATTAATGCCTACATTCGTAATATAGAAAACAACATATTTAAAAAGGAGTGTTCATATATTTATATCCAGATTATAAATGAATACATAGATAAAATTATATTAATCAATTTTTTATTTTGTAATTTTATTATATTGAAATGTGAACTTCTTACTATAGTAGCATTGAAGCCTAAAAATCGAACTAGAGAAGTCCAGTGTGTTGCATTGTTTTGTTATATACCAATTAAGCCATGATTGCTTTTTATTATTAAAATGAAAAATGAACAATTTCAACATAAATTGTTAAACAAAATTTTCACGATCTCTTAATTAATTAGATATTACTAACTAATGCGCCACTGAGAATATACGGTTTTTTTATTGCATATGTCGGTGGAAGACCTCACAGCCCACCTGGTTTTAAGTGGTTACCGGAGCCCATAGACATCCACAACGTAAATGCCGCCACTCGCCTTGAGATATGAATTCTAAGGTCTTAGTATAGTTATAACGGCTGGCCCACCCTTCAAACCTAAACACATTACTGCTTCAGGGCAGAAATAGGCAGGGCGGTAGTACCTAGCCGTGCGGACTCGCAAGACGTCCTACAACCGGTAAAAATTATTATGTTATATATTTTATTTAGATTTTAAGTCTAATTTATGTACTACTAAATTAATAAACCTACCCATTAATGTACATATTTCATATACTACATACACATATCAATTCGGTTTCATAGGTATTTATCAGCTTTAGATTAAAAATATAATATTCAATGGATCTAGTTTATTCCAATCAAAACTAAAAAAATATGTTAGTACTCAACATAGTGACTAATTTTTTCACTTTCACTAAATTAAATTCTGATGTAATATTCGAGTACACTTCACATTACTTTATTACACTTTTTGTATTGCATATATCATCGTAACATCCAAAACTTATCGGAATTTAAATTTACTATAATTGATAATATTATTATCAAAAAATAATATTATAATAATATTCCGATATAAATGGAAAAATTTGATTCGAGCCGTACACCCCAGCAGAGGGTAATAGGAAAGCATGATGATGATTATTATTTTTTGAATTTGAAAACACCTTAAAGATGCTTTTAGTAATACCTCTTAAAATTAGAGAGTTATCAATACGTAACGACTCGTTTACGTAACGACGTGTTTAAAGAAAATACTAATGTGTGTTTGATTAAAACGCATTCTATCAATTATTCAGTTGTATTCCAAATTTATTTTTCATATTTACCTTTATTTACTTTATTTTTTACTTAAGTTCATTTTAATTTAACAATTCACTGAACTTCTCCATCCAAAAGCATTTCAATATATCCTATCTAAAAACAAAATTATGAAATCTGTACAATACTACTGTATAACTGTTAAATGAATTTCGATAACTAGTGTAGGTAACTTACAATCTTTTCTTTTTTTTTTCGATATAGAATGTAGCACAATTGTGAATTATTGAGAAATTTAACACTTTCACGCATGCAATATGTATTCAACTGTAGGTATACTGTATGCTATTCAACAAAAGGACGTATTATGTATCTCACTAATATATATTTTAAATTTATGTATCTCTTTCCATCTTACTTAAATGCTGATCTTTCTTCTCTTTTTGTTTTTGCAATGCTTTTTCACGTTCCTCATCATCCGAATAATATTCCGCTAAATCTGCTTCCTTAGGTACGGGATGTCCAGCCATCGTGCTTCCTTTTTCGGTTAGAGCGTTTATTTTGACTAGAGGCTCTTCATATAAATCTTGTGTTTCAGGCTGTGTCGATTGAGCATTGTGCGCTGTGACAGTTGAGTATATTGACATTGCCTAAAAAAACACTAGAGATGTTAATAAAATGAATTTTGAAATATTTTACTTAGTATGGACATAGAAGTGGAGTAGTAGAATTCCAAAGAAATTGAAGTTTCTATAATAACAAAGGACCTTAAAAACACAGGCTAAAAATAATTATTGTTGTGGTTGATATTTGAATAATGTTATTCATATTATTAATTTTAAATGAAGCCTAGCCTTGGCTTTATCCATCCTACGGTTACCACGTGTAGCTTAACACGACGGATCGTGAGTTCGTGCGACGATTTTGCAATAAAACTAAAGCTAATAGAGAACGACAGAAATAAGACATTTCAATGAATATGGATGGAATTAAATACACAACGAACAGAGTGTATTTCTCGTTTGTGTTATATAGACGTTCTTTAAAACAAAGTCAACAATGTTGTATAACTGAAGAGCCCACGGTAACACAGTCAAATCGACTAACTTAAATCGAGAAAATGTGGGGACTGCCATCCATTTATTTTCGCCCTCGTATATTTGGAAAGAACCGCCGTTCATAGAACGCATTTTAGGCTGATGGATGCTAAATGAACATTATATGCATTAAGATAATAGTTTATTGATGTTTTGGCCTTGGGTAACTCTGTCTAACAGGAGACTAAGAAATATAATCATACCTGTGCAACTAAATTTGAGACATCCCCAGCGTTTGCTGGTAATATAAGAGTGTTGTTAGTTCTAGCTAATTTATTAAAAGCTGATACATATTGTTCTGCCAGAGTTAATGATGCCGCATGTCTGCTGTCCTGAAATAAACATGCCAATGAAAAATTTTGTGAGTCTGCTCCTACGATTGGCGTTTACTCCCAGATTCTCATTTAATATACAATAAATATTTTGACCGTTTTTTTATAGATAACTTTTCTCGAGAGGTTGAGACAGATATCGTATTTTTATGCCTTCAATTTCTTGACCACACCCTTTTCCCCTTAAAATGTGTTTCGTATCCTTCTGTCATAGTTCTCGAGTACTTTCACCAGGTATGGATTTCGTGGGTCTTGTATAAGTTAATTACAGAGACTATAATTTTTTTTATACACCGTATGGATGTTATCTTCTGTTGGTTTCCTAAATGAATAAAGTAATAAACAAATATATATATCAGAATTAATTAGACTAATACAAACCCTGTCGGCGAGTGCGTGTGCAATCAGTTTGAGCCCACGTGAGCGAGCCTCGGCCACCGCGAGCATCGCTTGCGCTTCACCCGCAGCTTTATTTATCTGCTCCTGCTTCTCTGCCTCTGTTCGTGAATTAATATTAAACATTAAACGATCTTGAAGTCTCATCTATAAAAGCATTACTGAACAATTAATTTATAGTGCTAATTGAATGTTTGAAAACAGATTAAATAGCCTCACTTATTTGACAAGTGGTGTAAAATACTTTGTGTGCCGGGTAATTGAATACTTAAATACAATTCAAAACAGATTTCAAAATAAATATTTAGTAGGAAGAGTAAAAGCACCTAATCTAAATAGGATTTGTCCTTTGATAATATGACGTAAAGAAATAAAACTTACCAGAAGCGAGTATCCTAGACTGGCGTTTTCCTTCTGCAACATTAATGTCAGCTGCACGAACCCCCTCAGACTCTAGTATGGCGGCTCGTTTCCGTCTCTCCGCCTCTACTTGCATTTGCATTGCTTCATGTACACGCGTTGGTAGTTTAACATCACCTACAAAAAAATATTTACTCAAATCAGTGGGAATTTATTATAATGAATTACACACTATCAGCAAGGTTATGAAGATATTAAGATGTACATGTTGATAGGACAGTTGATTGCATAAAAACAATTCTAGTTGAATAATAGATGAGCGTGGATGAGCATAATAATACAAAGTAAAAACATTATGAAGTGTATATTACAATTCTTTCTTAAAATAGAAAAACACTCACGTATTTCGTATCTTAAACAAGTAATACCCCAAGCTTCACTGGCTTTGTTAATGGCGTGCACTATAGATACATTTAAAGATTCTCTCTCCCTGAACACTTTATCCAAAGAAATCTGCCCAATTTCTGATCGCATTGTAGTTTGCGCCAACTGTGTAATTGCAAATTCAGGATCTTCTACACCATATGAAGCTGTAATTGATGCCGATGCCAATAGGTTAGGACAATTTCTACAACTTATCAAATAACATACTAAAATTTATGGCATGCAAATTTTATTTATTTTGATTTGACAAAATGTCAAATGGGTTTCAACACATTTCAACCACAAATGGAATCATAAAATTATTCTAATGTAAATTGAATTAAATATGACATAAACAAAGCATAAGAATATTTGGAAGGGAAAAATGAGAATTATTTTAATGTTTTTGTCTCCGTTTTTGCTTTCTATACATTTTAAATTCAGCTATTCATGCTTGGCAAATTAAGAATTTTTAGTATTTTATTTACAATATTGCATTTATGACCTTTTCAGGCTACCTTAACAGTTTATTGATATTTAGTCTATGATTTTGCAAACAGATATCATCATTACAATATTACATTATTTATTCATCTTATTTTAAAGGGACGGGGCAAATGAAAAACACTTATTCAAACCTTATGGATCTTAGGTTAGTGTTATTCAATACTAATTAATAATCTACTAGTCTGTTTAGCAAAAATATATTAAAAAACTTCTAAAGGGAATATTACTCACCTAAATAAGGATCAATAATTCTAAGATAAAGTACTCCATCAATGCTCAATGTAACATTGTCAGATGTAATTGCACTCTGTTTAGGAACATCAATGGCTATTTCCTTCAAACTTTGAACATATTTTATTTTATCTACTATCGGCCATAAAATATTCAATCCTGGGTCCAAAATTCTATGAAATTTTCCCATTCTTTCTACAATCCATGCCTGAAATTATAATTTTTTTATACATTTTAAATTTTAACAATAATTTCATCATCAATTAGAAGAATAATGTCATTCAATAGTTTGATTATGATAATGCTAAAGTATCCAATTTAAAATACTGTTTTATATCATTACTCTTAAGCTTTTATTGATTTGTTATCATACTTTAGTTATACTAAACATTAATCAGTAATATTTTTAGCAAATACACAAAGCTGTATGACAATTAAGAATTCAAATTCTTCATCATTACGGGCTTAGAAAATTTCTAAATTTTTAGATTAAAAGATTCGAAAGTGTGTAAAATTTGTACCATACCAAACAAAATATATTAATTGGATAAACTGGAGAGAATTGTTCTACACAGAACCGTTTGTTGGATAGCAAGAATTTGAAGCTATTATTTGCTACGTGATGTCAAGGAGCAAGCGTAAGACAGGGTAAAGTGCAGACAACTTGTGAGGGCCCTATGTACCAGCGGGGTACCCTAGGACTACAACACAACACACGCATTTGCTACAAGTGTTTTTTTTTTCATAAGTAACAATCAAAATTTCACTGTACCTCTTGTTGGGGAACAAACATAATGATTGTATTCAGTGGAGTTGTAGAACGACTTCGTACTGGCGAGATGTTATACAAGACACGAGCATTGTTTTGTAATTCTGGTAATAAAAGATTCTGCAACAGAATTTCAAGAGGTTATTTTTTTCAAATTTATAAAAACGTCTCTTATTTACGAGAATTTTACTTACCCGAAATGAAGCGGCTTTAGTTATTAAAAATCTATGTTGTGTAAACATTGTGAAAATATTTTTTCTATTAAGTGTCTTATATTGAAGTTTAAAATAATATTTTCAACGTATTTATTGTTCTTTCATAAATTTCGTATGTTGTTTATATTCACACTATTTACAGACTAAATTTATATTTTTTGTTTGTTTGTCTCCCCAGACAAAAATAGGAGCATTTATACAACCACAACTAATTCAGAATTTCCTGACAAAATAGAATTACTATATTATCATCTGGCCGCCGAGACATGAAGTCTATATTATCTATGCGCCGAGATAATGCGATCCTGACGTCTGTCAGTTGGCTATGGATAGTTGGATGATGGGAAATAATTTTAAAAACACTAAGTATGTACATACATTCCTACGTACAATTTAATATATTTTATTTTATTAAAACACATTATCATAGATGCTTGTCCGGATTCGCTTTTGGAATCGCTGCCCATAATAGAAATAATTATGTTCATAATATTAAGAGATTCAAAATAAATCCTTTGTTTGATCTCCTTGTTTCTATAGTAAATACCTAAATTAGGGAAATACCTAAAAAGGCATTATTATGTCATGAACTATCTGTCCATGTTTAATTAAACTTCGGTTCATGCCACTTACGACTGTTGAATCAATATTAAATAACATGGTTTCTTAGATACAATCGTGTTATATTTTTATCGAAAATAAAAAATACTATGTCTAATATTCAATGTACAATTTCTAACAGTGTAAAAAGTAAGGATTCTGATACAAAAGACATTGAAGACATAGACGAAGAATCCATCCTTGCTAAAATTAAAAGACTTAAAATCGAAGAGAATCATCTGATGCAAGCAATAAGAAAGCACAGCTATTCATTTAGAGATGTCGACGATGTGGCTACAGTCAGAGTGAACTACGATTCCCAGTCGAACAAAAATAATCTGGAGAAATCTATCCGAGAATTAAAAGATATGTTTGTGGAAATAAGAATGTGCACTAATTCCTCGGAAATTTTAAGGTCCATTGGTCAGTTTACAAAGTGAAATTAATATCCAATGACGATGTTTTAATGTTCGTATGATAGGATGACATATAGTCAGGATGGTAGTGACTTTGTGCAGGCTAGCCGTACTCTCTCCTCTATCGCCAGTAATTACGCAAATTGCAAATTATGGGATTAGATTTTTATTAGACGATGTGTACCTTCAAATTTAAAGTTGTTCTAAAACACGTGTTAGGTAAATATTCATAGGCAAAATTGGTATCTGTTTGTAGGAGCTATGGATCAAATCCCTGGATACGAGTTACAGTTCTATTCCAGCTGACTTAATGTGGAGTGGATGTTTCAATTATTATTTTATTCTACCACTGTTGTCACACTTGTCACATCGGAACGTATGACTGCTCCGCGTCTAGAAATAATAGGTTGGGGAAAAAGTTTCTTCGCATTTTTTAAGAAAATTCACAACATTTTTTAATATAATTTATTTACATTTAACTAAAGTATGTAGGTACAATTTTGTTCGATAACTTTTTGCCATCTTGTAGGTAGGGACATGATCTCATTGCTATGGAAATTTTGTCTCTGTTAGAGACGCAAATGTATCATTTCGTGTGTTTGATTTTTTTTACGCCATTGTTTACATTTTAATAGGTACAGATTTATTTAAAAAGTTGACTTTGTACTATTTTCAATACTACTGTATTTTAAGTTTTTCAATTAATCAGAACTTATCCTAATAAAAAAAAAAGTGTAGGTATAATAAAATAAAAATCAAGCACTTGTAATAACCAGCTAACTTATCTATCTTGCGACAGAAATCTGATGAAAGGCTGGACGACACGGGCTGGAAACATACCTAATGTAGATTTTTTAATCAGTTTTATTATTTTCTAGACATTCATGAAATAAAAACAACTATTGTGGAATTCGAGAAAAGATTGAAATCATTCACATTAAATTTACGTTCGGAAATGGTTGAAATAAAAAATGATGAAAACCAAATACTAGCAGAGGTATGTATGTATACATAATTTCTAAATTTCTTTTGTGAGTAAATTAAATTTAAAAAATATAAAAATATTTAACATAAAAAACTTGTAAATATAAAAAAAACATTGCGTGTATTAGTTTTTTATTTTTATTTTTAGATGAAACAAAATTCAAATATAACGAACAAGATCAGAATCCCAAAATCGCATCTACATTCCGCGACTTATAAAGACATAGTTCCCAGTCCTGTTAAATTGTTCATGAATTCGCCGTTCAAATGTCCGGTAGGTGGAATTGAATGTAATTAATATTTAACTGCTAACAAACACTGTGTGCGTCTTTACAAAAATTTTGTGAGTAGATCAGTTTTTTTCATTCAAAACATGAGACCCGTCATGAATTTTGAAAAAAAATTGCCACTTAATGTTATTATAACAAATGGATACGTAACGTAATAGAGGAAACAGTTTAATTACTGTTATGAAGGGCTTTCGTAAATTAAAATTCTCAGATAATGTAAATAAATAAACGTTCTAAATTAAACGGTCCCAGCTAAGATACTGTGTTATTGTGTTATGGGTTTAGTCGTCTTAGGTTGTAGTTTAATGTCTTTGCAAACACAAAAAGACACAAAGAAAGTTTTTATTTAAGACGAACACAAAATATAGAAAGAAGGAGAAAGTAACAAGAAATATATGATATGCAGCACAGAAATATATGATATATGCAGCGTTCGCAAGTCAGATTTCGACGATTGGCGGTGGTACTGGATCGCTAAAAATGCGACGACCGTTCGTTTATGCTCCGACGTAATAAATTGTATTAGCGAAATATTATCGCCGCCGCTATACTGCAGTTATCGCCTAACTTTGCTTGTGAATTAATTTTGTTTAGTGTAAATAATGTTTTGTATGATTGTGTGATAAATGAATGTGTTAATATAAAATAAAGTATATATGTATTGTTGTGTAATGTAATTATAATAAAATATTATAAAATAAATAAATACATGTGAGTCATGGGTACCGTAAACATATATTAAGAAATGTCTGCTGTGGAAACTTGTGCCCTTCTTGCTCCTTTTTTCTTTCCTTTCATATTCGCTGGTAGCCTAAGGGGCTACTCCCACTACGTTTTGGCTGGTAGGTCGTTCTAAACCTGAGAGAGTTTCCTAAAATTGGTCCTAGCAGTGAGTCGAAGAATCTGCCATCGGATCGCAATCGCGAACCACTGAGAAGATTCGGTGTGAAACTCAGTAGGTGGTGTCTAAGGGCTAATTCGCACGTCGAACTCTTTGTTGTAATCGACGAGTTCGATGAGGACGGTGACCGGTGCTTGAAGAGCCTAACAGCACCGAGAACGAATCTTGGAAATCCGAGACATGTAGTGTGCCCGGGCATTATCTACCGTTGTTAGTCTAATGGGCTATCCCAACTACTCATGGACCGGTAGGTGAGCTCGCGTATTCAATCTGGGAGAATTGCTAACACTGACCCTAGCAAAAGCTTGCAAGGGCAGTGCTTCGCTGCGTCAATCTCAATGAAATGAGAACATCTGGCGAGAAACTCAGTGGGTTAATGAATTCTTGATTATGTACGCACCAGTTATCAGTTATACAAAATAAATAAATTTTATGTAATAGGTCATAATTTTCCTGAATAATTTGTTTCTTCTTCATAATATTCATTAATTGAAAACAAATTTGTAACCTTTAACTTCTAGGCCGTTCAAGAGTTCCAAGAATTTATTGCAAACAGTAAAAATCGTCATGGTGGCTGGAATGAATATTATCACAACGTTTTTGTCAAAACATGGATGAAATATTTTAGGTTAAATTCCGTTGATGATTTTGATATGTTCGTATCAAGTCTAGAATCTTCGGAATATTTCAATGATTTTCTTTTTGAACTACAAGAAAAATTGCAAGGTAAGCGTATATAAATAAATACGAAATATCGGACAGCTTTGAAGAGAGTATATATAATTAAATTCAAATATGTGTATTCTGTAGTTTTATTTGCTAAGTATTACCTGCGTAGATACAAGTAATGTGTAACTCTTTGTGTAAGAAAATTCCGCATTTAGGGAGATGTTCCTCCTAGGTCCTAACGTTGCTTTATCTGAGTTAACTTTCACTAATCCCTGCAGTAGTACTCGTCTTTTAAACAAAGTGCTCACGCAAACCGCAGTGAAGCATTCCGTTTTGATAGGTGAGACATTCGTTAAACTATACAATAGAGACTTAGAAATCATGTCTCCAAATGGGTGGTGGCATTCACATTGTGATGGGCTTCAGTAATCCCTTAAATTCAGGTGAACCGTGAGCTTGGCTAGTAAAAATAAAATAAAGTCGGGTTCTCGAATAAGTAGTGTTTTATTCGCTTTTCGCGAGCTGAAATCACGGATGGTTAAGGTACAGACGACAAATCAATCCCTAAAAATAGTTTCAAACTAATAAAACCGAAATAGAATAAAAGTAATGTATAATAACAATCTCACTATACCTTGAACTAAATACATCTGCTACTTACAATTGTTATTAGGTTAACGGTACATTGTACCACTAACTTTATTACGATTTGACAGTTTTCAAAATGGATGACTTAATATCTCACTTTAAATGGTACGCCAAGTTTGTTTACTTGAAAGAAAATCAACAAAAAGCTATTAATAAATGGAAAACAAAGAGGAATTTGGTGAAGCAATCATCAAAGGTACATCCTGTGAAAGTAGTCTGCTGATAATATGATTTGATACCTACCTATATAATAGTATATTTACTTATTGGCGTATTTTCAGATGGAGTTTGATAAACGTGCCCAAATCGATTTACAACGATGCACAAGTAAGCCTGAAGATTAATTTAATCATTTACGAACTATTTAAACTGTATTACCAAACGGATTAGTTAAAATGCAATTGACAGATAAGCACACAAATGTACACAAGTCTAAACTAGACTTGCTTTTTTGTTAGTATGTTAATGATAGCGGTTGTCTACAAAAATCTTTAAACTTTCTTGGGTATCTATATTATACAAATTAGCGACCCGCCCTCGCTTCGCTTCGGAAACATTAAAACACACATGAAACAAAAAAAAAAAAAAAACGTAGCCTATGTTCATCGGGGACAATGTCGGCTTCTAATGGAAAAATAATTTTTCAAATCGGTCCAGTAGTTTTGGAGCCTATTCGAAACAAACAAACAAACAAATCTTTCCTCTTTATAATATTAGTATAGACTATTATTTTAAGGATTCTTACCCCGATTTTCAAGCGCCGAACTATCGAGAGCACTTGAAATGTGTAAATCGTGGAAAGAACATGCTAAACAATTGTTAAGTGGGGTTTTTGTTTCATTTTAAATTACCTTTTTATAATTCATATTATATTGGCTATTTTTATAACATCCACTTCATTAAATCTTTGAAAATTACTGTTAGGCAAACTAAAACTTCAATGATAATGATGATGCGTAAAATATCAGTCTTTATTACTAAATAAATTACGAACGTATAAGCGACACTTATCTTTGAAAAAAAAAAACCAACTACTATTGAGAATTATATCAATTAGTTTTATTTCTTAGGTGCGCGTGAAAATTCAGACACAATAATCGACGAAGGCAACAGATGGTACGTACCTATTACGTACGCGAATATGGAGGGTAAAAAGTAAGGAGCACCATCTCAGTGTTTTAAAAAGTACTTCTGAAAAGGAGCCGATTAAGGTAGCGCCATAGAAGCAATTGGAAAGATTTAAAAAACAGCGCCAAAAACTATTAGAGTAGAATACTAAATCAAGAAGGAAAAAAACAAATCCTAAGTAAATAATAATAAAAAGGGTGCGTGTACTTATGTACGCGCGTAAGAAGTTATACTTTATTTTTATTACATTTATTTCTTTTTTTTTAAATATTAAATAATTAATAATAAATATTTAACGTTAATAATTTAATAATATTTTGTATGAATTATATTAAATAATAATTTTGTCATTTATATTACTAAAAAATGAATGCTAATAACACTTTTTTTTATATTCGGCTATATTCAGACTCGCCAAGTTACGTCGGTCATATTGTAATGAGCGATTTAGTGGGCAACTTCATTCTGTTAATTTTGTGTCATGGTGCGCGCGCATCGTAAAATTTCACTCTCATCAATTTTTCATAACGCGCTTAAAGAAGTATAACTTTAATAAATATTTGAGATTTTAACTTCTTCACTCTGTTTAAATTTGGTATATTCATATCATTACCATTTCCTACACTAGCGCTATTTCAGTGAGTCTTCCAAACAATAACTTGCTGTTTACAGGCAGACACTTTTTTGGATCCAACTCGAGGTGCCCCCGCCCTAAGCGGCACGGCGGGCAACCTGGATTCAACCAGGTATATGGATCTCGAGTCCACTAAAGCCCAACAGGTCCCTAACCCGTACCAACCCACTCCCTCAACATCTTATGCGACCATAGCCGCATCCCAACCCCCAGTGGGTACTCGCCCCAGACCCACCCAAACCCAAGTCCCNACCAAGCCCATCGTATTATATATAAGTATTTATTATTTTGTCGATGTAGTGCAGCCGTGCGCGCTGCGAACAGCGTACCTATCCCCAAAACCTCCCTGCATTATTTCACCCCTGCCCTGTGTGGCAGGGAGCCCCGTCCCGGGTAGTGGGGTTTGCCCCGAGGCCCGTTCCGTGCCCCCGAAAGGGGGTACGACGACCCTTCTTGTCTTCTTGACACTTTTTTATCTTGTTCCCTATTGCTCCTATTAGATACAAGATGGTGATTCTTACTTCTATCCTTTAAAGTTACAAGAAAAAGCGTTGATATTTTATAAAAAAAAAATTAAAGACAAAAGTAATAGGGAACGGAGCCGGGAAATATCGACCGACCGAATTCTGTGAACAAACTTGATATGAAAATTGCGGTTGCGCTTCTGTGCCAGTGATCTCCAAAAGTGACGAAACCTGTCAAAAAAAGGTCGAAAAATATCATCTGATTCAACAGAGTAATTAATTAAATGTGACATGATCTTCATTTTCCACGTTATAATGAAAACTACATTTATGGCTTAATCTTAAACTATGAAAAATGGTGTCTTGAAAGATAGAAGATAGATTACCGACGTTTCGATTACTTTACAGCTATCGCGGACGACTAAGGTATAATCGACATCGACATTCCAATTTTATACTAACTACTACTCAACTGTTTTTTTTGTACAAAATAGTTTCCACATTTTATGACGATTGTCCTTTCAGGGATCTCGTTAAAGAATCTATGGATTCAATTATGCGAGAACCGGAAAATTCGAATAGATTACATAAAGATGAAAATACGAGCGTTACTGACTCAGTGGCTAATTTGTTCAATAAGGAACGTAAACTGAATGATTATCGGAGACCCACTGCACAATGGATCAATAGATGTAAGACCACCGAAGAAAAACAGAATTGTTTCAATAATGAAACAGCCTTAGAAACGATAAGTAAAAGGTAATAATATATAACTATTATAATAATAATCTAATCTAAGCACATCACTATTTCCGGACAAGAAAGCCGACCACACTCTTGTTACAGTGCCGTAATTTCACCTCCTCAATAGGTCGCTTCAATTAAAGCTTGCTCCCCCAAAAAACACCGGTCAGGCCTTGAAGTAATGTCTACATACCTGGGCACAAGGCTCTCCAGTACCAAGATTCGATAAGCCTGATCACTGGGTCTAGGAAGAAAATTTTATCCTCCCTGAGGTATGCATCGCATGTTCCGCTGCTCGCTAGAACTCTTTTAGATGCCAGTAGTAGGAGGACTACTTTATTTTAGCATTTTTTTTTTTTATTGCTTAGGTGAGTGGACGAGCTCACAGCCCACCTGGTGTTAAGTGGCTACTGGAGCCCATAGACATCTACAACGTAAATGCGCCACCCACCTTGAGATATAAGTTCTAAGGTCTCATGTTTTAGTTACAACGGCTACCCCATCCTTCAAACCGAAACGCATTACTGCTTCACGGCAGAAATAGGCAGGGCGGTGGTACCCACCCTCGCGGACTCACAAGAGGTCCTACCACCAGTAATTACGCAAATTATAATTTTGCGGGTTTGATTTTTATTACACGATGTTATTCCTTCACCGTGGAAGTCAATCGTGAACATTTGTTGAGTACGTATTTCATTAGAAAAATTGGTACCCGCCTGAGATTCGAACACCGGTGCATCACTCAGCACGAATACATCCGACGTCTTATCCGTTAGGCCACGACGACTTCAAAGCATATCGCTACCTGCCCTTAAAGAGCGATTTGAAATATATAAAAATGCGCTGTGCAATTTTCACAATTCTTGACGTAATGGTCGCGAGCACGGTCGACAAAAACAAAATTAAATATTTTTTTCTACGTTGACTACATCCTTACATATGTACATTAATACATATTAATGTTGTTTCCAGGGGCGTGCCTTCCTGGAGAACCAATTTGTAATGCCTAAATAGTAAATTATAAATAAGCAACATTTAATGAAAATTATAACACAATTTCTAATAATTTATGGGTTTCCCTTGTTTTTTTACCTGATCGTCGCTTATCGGTGTACATAGCTTTAAACTACTTGACGTATTTTAGACGATATGACTCAAATACTGAAATACACTATTACGTAAGTTCCGTCACAGGGCTGTTGCATATGTCATTATGCAAGACTACGTCTGTTTACAACCGCTTGCTGGTTTTCAAAACGCCGAAAGCAAAATTCACTTCCTATTGAGGTAAACCAAGAACACATGCATATTGATACTGCGTATCGATAGATAGATATGGATAGCTGTTGAAGTACTCGATGCTTACAGTGTTGATCACTAAGTAAAAGTGTGGGAGTTAACGGTGATTTGGAAAAAAATCCTTTTGTAAAATAAGGAATCCATTCACGCTATCAGACATGCTGGACGCTAGTCTTCAATTGCCAGAAACAGTGGAGCAAATTGTAGGCTACATAGCCGGCTTTATAAGGCGAAAACTGCAAGCGAAAATCAACTGTCCAGAATGCTTATCATTGCTACCTGTTAATGAAAATGTATATTTTCACAATCTGATTAATTTGCAAGATTTCGGTGGACTTTTATACCCATCTGTAGTGTTGTATAAAATATGCACACGCACAGAAACACTAATAAGACAGATAATAAAAATACATGATAACGGAAAATATGTCAGTGTTTTTCTAAAATAATTGATAATGAAGATATTCTACTCTTACTAAAAAACAGTCACCAGACAAATAATGACCATTTCTTTTTTTTATAAACTATGTAATGTAATGGTTGAATTTCTCAAAATTATTCTTCCAAACATTGCGAAAAAAGATTATTTTTTAATGTCTTCTAGGCAAAAAACTTACTAAATTAATTATATTTCGAGGGACATAGAGTTTATTACAAAATATATATATATATATATAAACATTATCCAATTATATTGTTTTAATATTAACTTTGTACAGTCCACTTATTACATAGGTAACATCGTCATATTTATATTAAGTGAATTTAAGTGTATAATCTATGACATCGTCTACGCTGCTATGGCTGCTGTCATAGCTGACATTGCAGCAAGCACATGAACCAATCTCTATTGATTCAAACCAATCACAAATAATGTTTATCAAATAATGTTTATCAAACCCAAGGGCGGATCCAGCTTTGGCGCCAGGAGGGGGTCACATAGTCAAATTTAGATGCGTTTGTTCCCAAACGTTTGCCATTATACAAAGTTATTATATTAAATTAATTAAATATTGAAGGTATGTAGTTACATAAAATCTGTATGGTAAGAAAATATATAAATAAAATCATTATATTCAATTAGTAGTCCACCTAAGTCCTGGAACCAGCTCAGGGGGTGGTCATGACCCCCATGACCCCCCCCCCTGGATCCGCCATTGATCAAACCTCGTTTGTGATTGGTTATTAATTCATACGTCGTTTTGGTTTCAAGTGGGGCCACTTTTTTTTGTGAAATTTGTTCCGAGTAGAGTTCCGTCCTGACTTATTATTTATTCGAGAATAACAGTGCTTTATTAATGGCTTAGTATCAGTGAAAGTGTACAAATATGGGAAAATGAAATAAAGCCGCTGAACGTAGGTTCTCAGGATTCCCCAAAAAGTTTTAGTAACTGGCCACAATTATACGGAGATTATATTTCATCCCATATCATCTCATCTCATTTCATGCCGATTGATTAATGTTTCAAATTGTCAACTTCATTTAATTTTTCACATTATCATTTTTCGTGTAAATAAAATTACAGATTAGGCTGTATGGTATGATGTATTTGCCTTTCTAGTTGAGAAAATAGAACTACTTTACCACTATTACAAATTTGACAGTGTCATAAAGTCATAAATGATAGTAGGGTACCTCGATTATCGTAGTCCTGATTGTAATTTAGGACTTCGTCGTAATACTAATATGAAGTAAAGTTATTCAGAAACTAATTTTAGGATTAAATTTTGGAATATAAGTTGTATTACGATTTCGAATTTTTTATAAATCTAAAGTTATGTAATATGCATTTTTTAGCTCTAACATGTCAGTAAGGTACAGAAATTTATTTGTGCGTTTTGTTAGATCAACAATCAGTTTTAAAGCCAATCCAATAATTTTTGCCAGGCTTCCTCAACAAAAGATTGGCAGTGTTCCATGTGCTGTCGGATTTTCATTGTTTACATGGCTAGGCTTCTACAAGAAAACAAGTGCTGAAGATGAACTTATACATACCATTAAACATTGTGTTCTCTTCATACAGAGGTATGACTACATTAAAGCAGAACAACTATTGCATGTGGCTCTTAGACAAGCCCAACAGATGCAGCATCAATTAGCAATAACCTATATTTATGATGTTATGGCAAACTTGGCACTTGAAAGAGAACACCTAGATAAGGCTAAAGACCTTTTTGTTGCTGTCACTCAAAGAATCATGGCTGATGGTGCAACTGAAGATGATTTTCGAGTTGTTCATATCAGTACAAAGTTAGCAAGAATAAGTCATCTGAAGAAGGATTATCAAACTGCTCAGATGGGTTACGAGTGGTGCTTAGAGAAACTAGAAAAAATTATCAAAAGCGATCCTTCAGAGGAGAAAATGAAGTTATTTGCACTAGCTGAAGATTGGTATGGACGGCTGTTCCTTGATACTAATCAATATGAACATGCCTTAAAACTTATGACCGACTCACTGGAGAAAATGCAATCCGTTTCAGATATAGAGAAAGAGCACATAGCAACTCAAATGAATGACATTGGTACAGTTTGTGATTTATTAGGTAAAACAGATGAGAGTCTACATTACTTCAAAGAAGCAATTGAAATCGGAAAAAAACTTGAAATGGAGTTAGGTACAATGTATGTGAATTTAGGAAGAGCTTACATAAAGAAAAAAATATTGTCAGAAGCAAGAAAAAATTGTGGACTGGCACTAAAAATTGGGGTCATGTCCAAAAATAAAGATGTTAAAGAGGAAGCTGAAAACTGTTTTCAAGAAATAAAAAGGTTGAATTAGATAAACTATTTAATATTAATATTGTAAACTTATAAATATATATTTATTACAGAAAATATTCTCATCACTTTTATTTCCATGGTGATAAATAAAAATCACATAGAAATCTAGTAAATGCATTCTCATGAAAATATTAATCATTAAGACATTTATTATAAATTTAGTGAGCACTCTCTTTTGTGACACTGAAAGGTTCAGCTACAACTTCAGTTTTCGTGTCAGATATAACAACATCTTTGACTGGGCGATCATTTGCACCCGTAACAGTCATCTCAATTTTCTGTACAACATCCTGCAAAACAATTTTTGTTAGCATAACATAAGAAGATTCCTAAAGTGAATTTCAAAACAATACTGTTGCATTTTTGTCCAAATATGTTAATCTGGTGTGAATTTAATTTAAAATTAGTTGTTAATTGACTTACCATTCCTTCTAAAACTTTACCGAAAACAACATGTCTGCCATCCAACCAAGGTGTCTTAACAGTTGTGATGAAAAATTGAGATCCATTTGTGTCCTTGCCTGCATTAGCCATAGATAACCAACCAGCACCATAGTGCTTCAGCTTGAAGTTTTCATCTTCAAAACGCTCACCATATATACTGCGCCCTACAATTATTTTTTTTGCATAAGAACTCTCACATGCTTTTATTTGGTATTGAAAGAATCACAGATAATGTATTACTACTGAAAATCTCTAACGAATGTATATGTCGCTTCTGTGCCTGAATATGGAATTCATGATTCAATTAGCTAGTGTTCAATGGGTACATTTTTTAAGTGAATAAATACTCCACATATTATGTTCAAACTGATTAATAAATAATCATTGTGAACTTGCTTGGGTGGGTACCTACTGACTTCATCTCATGAACGATTCTGGTTGAAAGGATAGGAAATAACTTAAAAAATTTACACCTAGGTATGTCTCAATGGCCATTTGGCAGTCTTTAGACAGACCAAGTATGATAATAAGAAAAAAAATATATAAATTTCACAAAAATAGTCAAGAGAATTTCATAGTTACCTCCAGTTCCATCACCCTTGGTAAAATCACCACCTTGGATCATGAAATTTTTAATTACTCTGTGGAACTTGCTCCCTTTGTACCCCTCCCCCTCAGGTTTCTGAGCTAGTTGAAAGAAGTTCTCAGTTGTCTTAGGTACAGTCTTTCCAAATAATCCAATCACAATAGTACCAATATTGTCATCACCAATCTTCATGTCAAAGCTCACCTAAAAGTATCTTAGATTTTAGAAAGTATTTATTGTTTTTTTTTTATTAGGTGGACAGGTGGACAAACTCATAGCCCGCCTGTTGTTAAGTGGTTGCCAGAGACACCAATAATGTAAATGTCGCTACCCACTTTGAAACACGAGTTTGAAGTTTTTTTTTTATTGCTTAGATGCGTGGACAAGCTCACAGCCCACCTGGTGTTAAGTGGTTACTGGAGGCCATAGACATCTATAACGTAAATGCGCCACCCACCCTGAGATATAAGTTCCAAGGTCTCAGGTATAGTTACAACGGCTGCCCCACCTTTCAAACCGAAACGCATTATTGCTTCACGGAAGTCTCAGTTTAACAGTATTATAACTGCCTCACCTTCAAACTGAAGTTCAGCACACAATGGGTCACAAGACAAGTTACCACCAGTAACATAATTCCCAATTATGTGATTTCAGTTTCAGACTCAAATTCTGAAACTGAAATTTTATTTGGACTAACTATAGGTAGTAATCATTACTTTAATTAAAACTTAAATGATTAGAGACAAGAAGTTGTATTCTACATACAAATATTTATGATCCTCCTTAAAGAAAATGTTAAGCTTGCATTCTGATATTTTCATTTAGTAACCAATTATTATTAACATTAAATAAAATATTTTATGTAGCCCTTTGAGCGTGAGCCATCAATAAATTTACTCTATTATTGCATATTTTAATGGGCTCTATAAATGCAGAGTGTCAGAATAACAACTTTTATGTAGTTTTATTATATGTATTAAATATCAACCTTTTTGGACGTATCTGTGCATGCACATGTATAAAGTTTTTGATAAATTATTGACATTTATAAATAACCATTTAAAATTAATTTGTTGTGAATTTAGCATTGATTTATGTATTTTTTTAAAGATAATTTTTTTAAATAATATTTTTTTCAATAATCCTTTAGCAATATCTCCAAAATATGTTAAAATAAGCTCAGCACTAAAAGGGTTAACAATGTGACATCCTAAATTAAAGTATATTAATATTTATGAGTGTATCTTGGTTCAACTGAATATAAATTGACTAGCATTTTTATTGGTATACAATGGCAATCTTTGTGTGTGTTGACCTTTTCATTTGCAATCTCCATTGTTACATAGATGATGCCGGCCTATGCCAGTACTCATATTCATGAGAAAAATATTCAATTCCACATTGTTCATTAATTTGTTCTTAAAAATTTAACATGTTTAATGTTCATGTGAAAATCAGTTATTTCAATAAATTAGAACTACATTTAATTCCGAATTTATTTTGAAATTTGTAGTTATTAATTATTACTTGTCGAAAAAAGTTCACAAAGGAAACTTACTGTAAAAAGCTTCAACGTCATAACTTTGAAAAGGTCAGCGACCGATTAATATGACGGTTTCCGTTAAGTTTTAATAAAAAAAATAGGTAATTCAAAGACTGTAATGTTCTATCTTACCTTATGAGTAACTTTAGGTCCTTTGGGAATTTCATCAGATTTGGCACTAGCGATGAACAACAAAATTCCTAAAGCCATTGTAAGGGTACCCATGATTAAAACGAGTTTAGTTCGTTTCCTTGCTATTTTTACAAAATTCGTTTCGAATGTTTATTTTTTCAAAATTTACGATATAAAATAAGAAATTTGATTTAAAAACCAAGCCAATTTACTATTTTGCTGATTAGGAACAACCACACCGTACTGTCACTTGCAAGTAATGTCGAACTGGACAATGGAATTTAAAATTTAATACCTAGCGAACGCATAGCTCGAATACAATGCAAGTGGACGGCTGAGTAAACCGAGCAATCAAATTTCAAAACGACACAATCAAAGACCAATAGCACCAGTCACTTCTCGTCATTGTAATTCGTGTCAGATTCGTATTTGATCACTGATCACAGACTACATAGTACGATCATTGGGGGGACGGGGGGGCACGGCCATACTTGGTGACTTTTAAAAAAATGGTGAGATCTTTGAACTTCCTCTCACAAGTTTTGTTTCAAATTTAACATACGCGTTAGCGGATTTATTATTAAAAAAATATTTTTATCTATTTATATGTTATTCCGTTTCTTCGTAACTTTTCGTAACAAGACTTGGTTTTAATTCAAATTTAAAGAAGAGAGCTCTTGCTATATTAAAGTGAAACGTGCGCTTTAAAATATAATATAGTAAAATTTAGTGTTTCTGCTCCTTTATACGTGTAATACGTAATGGTGGTTTATTAAACGCTGAGCATCTGTGGAAATGCACAAGTGTTAGATTTTTTTTTCCTACATCATTGTTGGTAACCATGATGCATGAAATTAATGAATGCATTACGAAAGTATTAAATTACACGTGAAACTGTTGGTAAAACTAATGTCACGAAATTAATTTCATGTCTCTAATTTCGTAATGTAAATTCGCCCTAAGAGACTATTCCAACTATTCACGGATCGGTAGGTAAGCTCACGAACTCAACTTGAGAGAATTGCTAACACTGACGGTTCATGACCCTAGCAAGAGCAGTGCTTCGCTGAATCTATCTCCAGATTGAAATCGCGACCTACTGAGAAGATCCGGCGAAAATTCAGTGGGTTGTGTTTCTATGGTAGTTCGACGAGGACGGTGACCGGGTCTTCAAAAGCCTAAAAGCACTGAGAGCATGTTTTGATCGAACTCGACAAAAAGGTCGACGTCTAACCCATGCATCAGCCCGCTGAGTTTCTCGCCGGATCTTCTCAGCGGGTCGTGATTCCGATCCGGTAGTAGATTCATTCGCGAAGCAATTGCTCTTGAGTTGTTAGGTCTCCTTCGGAGGCGCTCGGGCAGTTGTTAGCAAATCTCACCCCTCCTGGCTGAGCCTTTGCTCGCCCACCTGTCCTGGTGAAACTGGAAAGGCCTTCGGGCCACCAGTAATCTTTCAATCATAAAAAAAGCATGTTTTGGGCAAAGGCAACTTTGCTTTGTCCAGTCGCCTGGGTAATTAGGTGGTTTGCAATTAGCGGCGGCTACATATGAGGTTTATCGTGTCACGCTGCTTTATCAAAGTAGTGGTCTGACGTGACGCTTCCTCACGATACTTACTTAACGGATCCATATTATCATTTTTCATAAAAATAAGAATATAAAATAAAATAAGACATGACCTAAAAGTCGTAGTTATCAGGTCATAAAATCACTTAAAAAAAAGAAATATATGTATATGTATATAATGTATGTATATAAAAATGTGTGCCTCATAGATTCCGAAACGGTTGGATGATTAAAATTTAGGAAAACTTTAGATAGTCAGTTTTCTAAAAAGTTTAATAAAGTCAAATTAAAGATCAGCCAGCAACCAATCACCATCAGGTGAGCCGTATGTTCGCCTGCCTAGAAGGGTAATAAAAAAATTAAAGAGGGCGGGTTTGACTAGTGAAAGAATAAAAAATATAATCGCAATTAAAAATGAAATTATATTCGACAATTTATAATATTCGACTTTCCGAGGGATGATTATGAAAATAAACTTGGATTAGAAAAACTTGTATATTCAATAAAAAATCAATAATCTACGATACAGTGTCACTTATAACAAGGGTATCATGACAACGGATTTGCGTATTACAGCGCTCTCTAGTGACGGTTTTAGGAGTTGGAAAAAACAGGGTGAACATTCCGCCCACCATGAACTACAAAAGTTCATAGCCAACAATGAGGCCATCAAATTTTACATGTACAATTAACATCTCCATGAAACCGTAACATCTTAACCTAATAGTAATCAATAAAGAACTGCTCAACATGAACTAAATATAAACTNGTGTGAGGTATACAAGAAGATCGCCAGCTGAGCGACCATGACGGAAACCGTACTGCCGGTCACTGATCAGCTGGCGATCCTCAAGATACTTAAGAAGTTGGATGTTTATGATTCGCTCCATCACCTTGGAAAGCAAGGAAGTTATCGCGATAGGTCTGTAATTCGAGGGGTCCGACCGGTCACCCTTCTTGGGGATAGGGTGGACATGAGCAGTCTTCCATGAAGACGGAACCCTGTTGGTATTGTACGAGAGGCGATATAGACGCGTTAGCGCGGGTGTCAATTCAGGGGCGCATGTTTTTAGAACCACTGCGGGGATGCAATCTGGCCCACTCGACTTATGGACATCAAGAAGCCGCAGCTCCTGCCTGACCGCACCGCTTCGGGCATATCGAAGAAAAACAGGACATCGTTTGAATGCTCGTCTAATGGACCTGAGAGTGAAGAGATGCCGCGCTTTGTTGAAGCGGTACGCGGGAAAAAAATATCGGGAAATTCTTTTTTCGGATGAAAATATTTTTACCGTAGAAGAGAGCTACAACAAACAAAATGATAAAGTGTACGTACGCACACAGTAGTGAAGAAGCCAGCAACCGTATTCCGTATTTTTATAGCCCTTGTAGGCAGACGAGCATACGGCCCACCTGATGGTGAGTGGTTACCGTCGCCCATGGACTTCAGCAATGCCACGGGCAGAGCCAAGCCACTGATAGGAAGGTAATTTTTCTTATTGGACTTATAAATATTAGTGCACGATGATATTGAAGAAATATACTTGGTATTGTGGTCATGACTTGCAGAACAGTTACGCTGTCCGAAACTTTAGAAGTTTTTTTGGTAGTGGTCAATAATCGTTCAGGGCGTTATCGGAATTGAGATAATTAAATAACACAACAGCGTTTATTCGCGACTGAACTTAAAAAGTAATAAGCAACGGAGCTTGCGTGCGCAGCCGCATGTTATGACTACGCACAATTGTGTTTTTTACATAACAACCTGTGTCCCTACAAAACTATTTGTTGATTTGTTGGCCTTTGACTACTTTTTGTACTGAAATTGCCTAAGTTGCCAAGACGATGCTTAGGTATATGCTCAGCCTGGAGGATTGTATTAAATAGTCTCATGTTAGTGTTGCATTTCGTTTGTAATTCTTCCGAGAACGCATCAGCCATTCTGTTTTTTTTAACTCATCCGTGAAGACGCTTATATCTGAGTGATTGATTTTTAGACCGGTCTTCTCATCAGTCAGCATGTCAAAGACGAAATGCTTAGATCACTGAAAGCTTGAGTGTAATCTGCTGTATCACTTTCTTGGGTACTAAAGAACCTTAAAATGACCCTTGGTGTGGTTCGTCTGTTCTATCGCTACTATCATGGATGCGTCTTAGAAATAGAGCAGTTTATTTTGTGTGCCAGTCTTAGATGTTTTAGTATACCAGACTGCACCACACTACTGCAACCTACTAAAGAAGTTGAGCTAGTGCACGCTTAAAACTGAAGAAACATTGAAAGCGCTTTTTCTTATTTTTTAAGGGATTTTATGACCTGGTAACTAAGACCTTTCGGCGAGACGCGTGAGAGACGCACAAGCCCACCGCCGCGCCGCGCGCCGCCCGTAGAACGTGCGCTAGGGAGGCGGATCTCACCCAAGCCCTGGCCCTGTAAGTGTTTCGGGTCCCCCTCAAATGTCTGTCTGGGGACCGGTGAGGGGGGCCTAAGAAGACGACGTGCAAGCTGCTCTGCACGCGTTTTACGCAAGAGCATCCGGATGGCCCAGCGGGGTATTCCGTAGAATAACTCACTCTAACCTCACTCTAACTCAGGCTTCGGATAGCTTGCCGATCGAAAGGGCTGGTGGTCGTGGCACCGACGACCGCCGGTCCGCCATTCCGAGGGGGAGGGTGATGGGAGAGATGTGCTCCGCACTAAATGCTTCACTTTCCCCCCTTTGCCTCATCATGAGTTCTCGCATGCGAGGTTTGGACGTTGGTCGTTGAGCGAAATGAAACAAAGCCGCTGGACGTAACTTCTCGGGATCCTTCAAAAGTCCACTGAAAAAATCTCAGTAAATGACCACCATTTTACTGAGATTATATTTCATCCTATATCATCTCATCTCATTTCATTTCATTTCACTCCATATTATCATTTTTCATAAAAATAAGAATATAAATAAAAATAAGACATGACCTAAAGGTCTTAGTTACCAGGTCATAAAATCCTATAAAAAAATAATTTTTGTGCCTATCTACGGATCATGGGCTAAATTTTTGTCAGAAAAGTTGTTTTTTAAAAAATACATAGGTGACGCAATTACAAATTATTCAATATTCATTCCAGCATAAAACATTTTAAAAACTTACATAGTTTCGTTCAATATTATGTTATTATTGTAGTGATGTGAAGTCCCTGACGATTTGAAAATTGTGTCTAGTGCAGTATGAATTTCAAACAAGCTACACTATGCATTTGCTATAAAATTGGTTTCGTGTAATGCTAAAAACATTTATATTATTTAATTGTTTTTTCCATTACACTTTATTAAGGAATATTTTGAATCGGTGCTCATAACATGATGATTCATTGACTTAGGATTCTACATCTCTTGTATCCATAAAGCTATACAAAATTAGTTTTTACATAAAACAGACTTAATTGTTCTAAAAGAAAATTTAATTTCGTGCCATCATGTTATGTGTACTATTTTAACCAAAAAAGCACTACGACTGGGAAAATTCTATAATAATTAAAACATAAATTCATTTTTCTTTTTAAAACATATGTAATGGTACATGGATATTGTGAACTTTTGTTACATGTATTCTCTAATTTGTAATATTTCTTCTAGCATGTAGCAATCAAAACCCATTGCACACAAAAACCATGGATGGTGATGTTAAATGATCTGTACAAATGGGAATGATGGATGAGTGTGAAGAATTTATCTTGGAATGTTGGATTCCAATAAAATTTGTTGGCACTGGGTGGAAATGTAATCAAGATACAGTTCACACTTATTTTATTAGAAGCACTGTCAAATTTATGAAGAATAATTAATCAACAGTCATAGTTTTGCAGGCATAATAAGATTGCACCGTTTCTGCAAAACAATGATGCTGTTAAATACAAAAACAAAAGTANTGTGAAGAATTTATCTTGGAATGTTGGATTCCAATAAAATTTGTTGGCACTGGGTGGAAATGTAATCAAGATACAGTTCACACTTATTTTATTAGAAGCACTGTCAAATTTATGAAGAATAATTAATCAACAGTCATAGTTTTGCAGGCATAATAAGATTGCACCGTTTCTGCAAAACAATGATGCTGTTAAATACAAAAACAAAAGTAATTCTCATAAAATTGGCACAAAGCTAATGCTTGAAATTTTTATACTTTTTATATTGGCTGTACTAATAAATGTAGCAATTAACACTATAATATCAGTTTGTATTGTCTTTACAGATAAGCATTCCTGGTTAATATTTTCCTACAATATTGTTACTATGGCTGATAAGAAGCCTAAAAGAAATTCTTCCAAATATTGTTATTATGATGAACAGAAAGCAAAAAGAAGAAAACAAAAATCTCGAATAAGATCTCAAACTCCACCATTACCTCACAGAAGTGGGACTAGTACTGAAGAACTTTTGCTAAAAAGAGATTCTCTAAAGAAGCAGCTGCAAAAGTTTAAGCACATTTCTAGAAATGGTGGTAATCAACATACTGAGGAAAATAGGAAACGAAAATACACAGATGGAAAAGATGGTAAACAAAAAAGATATAGTGAAGATAAAAGCAAAAATAGTCATGGCCAACAATCAAAAAGTGCTCCATCAAAATCAAATATAGAAATTGCATCCGAGTCTGAAGACGAAGAAAGTATAATTGAAAAAAGAAGGATACAAAGGAAACAATTGTTAAAAAAGTTTAATCAATCACATGATGATAACCATTCAAAAAATACTGAGAGTATTATAGAAAAGAATAATGGGGGTAATGATCAAAAGCTCACTGATGCAAACCCAACTTCTGCTGGAGAGACTGATGATTTCACAGATATGTTTTCTGAGAAAGATGATTTTAAAATTAAAGATCTTCTTAAAGTGGACAAAAATGACTTTACAAATAATTCAACTCTGACTGATAATTGGGATGACCACGAAGGATACTATAAAATAAGAGTTGGTGATGTTGTCAACAACAGATTCACAATAAAAGATACATTAGGACAAGGTGTGTTTGCCAATGTAGTGCGTGCTCAAGATAATGGTCAAGGAAACAACTATGTAGCAATAAAAATAATTAGAAACAATGAGTTGATGTACAAAACTGGCTTAAAAGAGATTTCTATATTAAAAGAAGTCAATGAGGCGGATCCAGAAAATAAATATCATTGTGTGCAATTTTTAGGGCACTTCATGCACAAAGGACATCTCTGTTTAGTTTTAGAATCCTTACATATTGATTTGCGATGTGTACTTAAAAAATATGGTAAAAATCATGGTTTAAACATGAAAGCCATTATTAGTTACAGCAGGCAATTACTCTTGGCATTGAGATTACTGAAGAAAGTTGGGATTGTGCATGCAGATATAAAGCCTGATAATATTTTAGTGAATGAAAGGAAGAATATCCTAAAGTTGTGCGATTTTGGTTCTGCTGCAAAAATTGATGAAAATGAACCAACACCATACTTGGTGTCAAGGTATTATAGAGCTCCAGAAATAATTTTAGGGATTCCTTACAAACATGGTGTTGATTTATGGTCTTCGGCTTGTACAATTTATGAAATGACGACCGGTAAAATCCTTTTCACTGGAAGCTCCAACAACAAAATGCTCAAATGTTTTATGGACTTAAAAGGCAAAATACCAAACAAATTAATTAGAAAAGGCAAATTTAAAGATCAACATTTTAATTATAATTATAATTTTTTACTCCACAAAAAGGACGAATTTACTGGTAGAGATAAATTAGTTGAGGTGACAAATATCAATGCAAATAGAGATTTGAATAACGAATTGCGAAATTGTTGTAAAAATATGACAGACAAGGAAGAAAGGAAAATGACACAGCTAAAGGATTTGTTAGACAAAATGCTAACACTGGACTCTAGTCAACGATATTCAGTAGCAGATTGTTTGAAGCATCCATTTGTTCAAGATGTTTTAACAAAGTAGACAAATTTAAATATGGATCACTATTCAATTTCTCAGATTAATTAATGTCTAATAAAACAAAATGATATTACTTAAAAGTATTTTATTTAAAGAAAAAAAAACATCTACCATCAACAAAAATATAATATAGCTTTACATAAAATTTGGACCATCACAGCAAAAAAAAACTAACGTGTATAATTCGAGAATTGACTTTTGCTTTGCATCTAACCAAGGAGTAGGCAAACTTTAATACAATTCATATTATTTAGTCACTGTTTTTGTTTGATAAAAAATATGCCATCCCAAAGTAGTATGTAAATGTTCATTTAAGAATTATTGTAGAAACTTTCATACGTGCCTAAATAGTTTAGAATTCATAACATAATAAAGGAAATGATCACAGTCAAATTATTCGTAGATGTATAAAAATTAATATTACTTAAATTATTTTTACTCAAATTCCTATTCACACCCATAAAATTTACAACAAAATTATAATATAGGTAAATATACGATCACAGAACAAAACGAGCTCCACTAAAATATAAAATCAATTAAGAAGTTTATACATTCATAGCAAAACATTGATAAAAAAAAAACGAATCTATTACAATACTCATTGCACAAATCACAACTATACGGTATTACATAATATAGTCAACCAGGTAGTTTCCAAAGTTTCGATATTATTATTTACTGCATCTTAATTACACCAAGTCAGAGTTAAAAAGTTATCGAATGAAACTTTTACATTAAACTTATTTGTTTAAAATTGTCCTGGTTGACTCTGTATTTTCTACTCTGATTGAATATTTTTTTTAAAATAGACCACTTTTTGGAGGCTTTTTTTTTTTTAAATAATTTAGCTGGATAATTCAGATCATAGCTCGCCTGGTGTATCGGATCCCATTGAAATGACAACGTGAATGCCGCTCAGGATAGTTTTGAAGTAACAGCTATAGGTACTTGCGTACATTTTTCAAACCAAAGCATTCTGGATACGTAACGAAAACATACTTACTGGCTATTGCACTTTGTTAAAAAATCTAAAGAAAATAAGGAGCATTGAGGTGGAATAATGGACCATCCGAAGAATGCATATTGGTGTAGGCAACAAATAATTGTAGGATACTAGCAAATTTAAACGCTTGCCACTTGGCGCAATATGCAGGCTATAAACAAATGTGTAACTACATTTTAAAGGCAATTAAGACAACGCCCTTGTCGTGTAAATACTATTTAGAATTCATATAGTATGGTATCGATATGTAGATACCTATCTTTAATTGATCGCTCAGTTTGATACGTTTGAACTAAATACAATACAATAGATGCCAAACATGAAAAAAAAATACATTATGTAGAAAAGTTACAGACCTACAACCATTATCGCTTAAAAAGCACTATTCCAAAAGTCTAGTCAAATATACTCTTTAATTAAGTGGCCATGAAGACTAGTTTGAGATAGTGGGTTCTGAAATTGTATTAAGATTGTATGAATTTACTTAACACTAAGACTATTATTTTTATTATTTCATCGGGTATAGTTAGAAATTATCACATGCGGCATCCACGGTCTCCAAGCGCAGGGAAAGGGGTATGCCAGCTTCAGTGTGCTTAGTGCGAGTTTTTTTAATTTTCGATCGCGTAGAACTCAATTCAAATTTGTATGGAGTTAGAACAGCGTTATAATAATATGGAGTTAAAACTACGTTTGTCGCTAGGGGCGTTGTTACAACTCCATACAAATTTGAGTTGACTTTTATAGGATAAAGAAGTTAAACAACTCGCACTAAGCACACAGTACAATTTACGAAGCGATAAATATTTATGTTTAGTTGAGTGATTAACCTGGCGCCGTAACCACAGGCAATCCTTAAAATATCATTTATTACAAAGTAGTAATTTTGAAATACCCTTAACTTATTACGTAGCACAATTTCATCACACAGTTGTGTATTAAAAATGACTTCGGATGCTCCTTAGTTCCGTGAAGAAATAATAAAAAATCCAAAACATGAGAATTAGCCAGTTATGTATCAGACAATTGCGAGATTAAAAGGAAAAATATTAGTTGTGATATATATTCCGTAACTCAGGCACATGGATAGGGTTGTGTTTTTCACCGATTTATCGAAAAGAATAAAAGTATAAAAACCAGCAGGACCTACGAATAATGAAACTTTAAAAAAGTAATTACGCTTCAAAAATGGTTCCACGTAAATAGCTACCGCGGAGGGCGGGGCTTAAAATAGCTACAGAACGGCGCCCCAGTTCGCTGTGGCACTCGTGTCGTGCGGTCGTGTTGCGTCAGTTTTCGGTTGACCAGATAATTATTATTTTGCGCTTTTTAATTTTGCAAGTATGCAATTTTGTGTCGTGAAATGGTGTAAAAGCCATACAGATATGAAAAACAGTGGAATTATCTTTCATAAGTAAGTATACAAACATCGTAAAATTTAATACTATTGATGATGGATAGTGTTATGCAATATGTACGATTACTTTTTCTATGAAGTAGTAGTTCTTTATACTGCTCAGATAAAACAAGTTTTATTTAAGTAACAAGTATGATATTATGCAGCGATAACAAATGGTTTTATTACTGCAGATTTCCGACAAATGAAATTCAACGTAAACAATGGATAGCCGCTTGTGATAGTACGGTTGGTAAGAAATGAAATAAATTGGACGCATTGCAAAAATAGTACAATATGCAGCATACACTTTCAAAAAGAGGCCATGTACATACTTGAAAGTGGAAGTCGTGTGCCTTACACCTTGTATGCTAGTAGTAGTAGTAGTATTGATTTTAAGTTTAATTATCATATTTTCATCTCATGTACTAACTTATAAACTGCATTTATTTTTATTGCGCTAATAAAGTCATTTAATAAAAAAACGAGAAAATATTTAATGAATTCAATATTACTGCATAACGTCATCGTCATAAGGGTGCGCTGGGTGGAGCTTGCGAACCGTGACCTTGGCGCGGCCAATCGCGTGCAAGCGTGAAAGAGTGTGAGTGTTCGTTGTATTTGCTTTTATTTGTGTGCGTAAATGGAACCATAATCTAAAGTGCAATTGTAGGCGAGTTACTATTCCATAGTTTTATTATTCGTAGAGCAGGACCAATTTAATTTAACTGAAATAAAGTAAGATAAGTAAGTCCTAAAATATCAAATTTAGTCAATTTTGGTCGAAGTGTTTCATAAATAGAATTTTATATACAGAAGATCGTTCCGACATGGCCAAAGTAAACCTATTGCTTTAAATAAAAATGTAAAAACTATGCCTCCATAACATTTGATTAACGTTTAGTACAATCGCATTAAACACAATATATTAAATTATACTCCTTATTAAAAAACATTCACTTACAGCAGAATTCTTCACAAATTTCGGTAATTTTTACTGATATTTCTAAACGCATAGAAATTGACAGTTTTATTGGGATATAGTACGTAAATCGTCATCACTACAACAGTTATACGTAATAGACCGCGTTTCCTACATTAATCGATGCCTCCAATGAACACTACGCTAACTCCAAATTCGTAGATTTACTGGAGGAGCGTTTAAACGGAAAAAAGTTGATAAAATCTTTATTATTGCAGATATATTTATGGTTTTTTTGTGTAACTAGCTGATTCACTCTTGCTTCGAACCCCATCAATAATGATTAATTGTAATACTTTTAACATAGTGAAGCGATTTGCAAGAAAAACGAAAATTTTAAAATTTTGAGTTAGAGTAGGTTTTCATTGGAGGCATCGATTTGGTTTGTTTGTAACAACTATAACGTAAAGAATTAGTCAAAAAGTGAAGATGAAAAGTGAGATGGCCATAAAGATAGAGCTGATGTCTATTATGAGATTCCAACAATACATAAAATCGTTTTATTCTTAATAGTTTAGCTGGTATCTATTTTAATATAGTATTAGAAATGGGCAAACGGGCAAAAGTAACACTTCAATATCGAAAATTTATAGATTTTTATGATCGATATAATATTATTTGGGAAATAAATACAACAATAATAAAATTAAAATGTTGAAATATTAACGATTCGTGACTTCGATAATAATCACAACTCATGATGTTATATCGTCTAATCGTCGGTATGTTGGTGTGGTTAGAATGAGATATTCGATGTAAACTCTAGATATAATTGTACTAAGCTAGAGGTTTAGCTTAAATTATTATTCGTTACCTAAGAATACTGGTAAACGTATTATTATATTTATATGTTATGTTTGGTGAACGGATAGCTGAATTTAATCATTAAGGTACTCATTATTAATCATCAATACAATACTTCAAATTATTTTTATCACTAACGTACAACATGAAAGAAAAATAGACAATGCTTAAAAACTAATCATAGCTTAACTCAAGACTGGTAAGAATCAATGATATTAAAAACCCTAGTCAACGCAACAATTAAAATAAATGGGCATAAACTATTTTCGGCATCGTTCGATTCTTGTTAATCGATATAAACACTCAAAGGGTATAAAAAGCATGTGAAAATATTAAACAAAAGAATTAATTTTAAAGATAGTAGTAATATTACCGCGTTATAATAAAGAAGTGACAAAATATATTTCAGAAGTTCTAATTAATGCCTATTATGTACCTATTAAGTATATATTATTTATTTCTTTGTAAACCTAATGTCATCTGTGGATGGATCAATTACGATACTAATTTAGCAATATAGAGGTCGTTAACGCTTGATCCGGAGATCATACACACCTACCATATATTATATTATATTTAAAATTATATTATAACATAAATACAAGTTGTCAATATGATTCGATTGTATTGCGTAATTGGAAATCGATTGTAGAATCGAATACCGTTATGATAAATAAAGGAAATAATTTCAAGTCGTCGTAGGCGAACCTAATGATATCTGCCTTTTGAAGTTGTACGATAGCTCAGTTTTATGATATTTTAAAGATTTAAAGAATTACGGACTTACCGCCAATTGCTCAAAGATTTCACGACTCCTTTTTCAAATGTTGCACAAACTGCGGCAACACGTAGCGCTAGTGTCGCGCTCAGTAGATTGCGCGGGTACCGGGCAAGTTGGCGGGAGATTTCAAAATGTGAACCCCAAAATCGAACAGAAGTTTCGCAGCATAGACTTACATAATTTGATGTATGTATTTTTCGAAGCCTCTATTTGGTAAGTTTTAATGAGCAGCCCCAGACATTATGGTAGTTTTCCAATTACAGAGCATAATGCGACTCAGTGACGCACAATGCCGAATTATGCTGAAGCTTAATTGGAACGTGAATTAGTTTTCAAATGCATCAGCAGAGTGCGCTAAGTTAACACAGTTTTAATTAACATTGATCATTTCTAAGAAACTACGATGAAACGAAAGCCTTACAAAATTTCGATCAATGCCAACTTAAAGAAAAAACACTTGTCAATTTTCTGTCACTGAGTTGGTATCGATTGCGAGTATCACGCGAGAGCAGTACTTTTGAGAGTGCTCGATTGTGCAAAGCGTTGCTGTAGTTGGAACATTCAACGTTGAGCATTATGTCGCATAATGCGCTCTTGTGCTGTAATTGGAAAACTACCACTATCTGCACCTAAATCAAATCAAATACTAATTTAATTCAACACGACCCGCTTATATACATTTCCGGAAACATCAGAAATAGTACATTCCGACACACATTTCAACACGCTAATGCAAAGGTACGCACAGCGAGCCCTCACATACAGTTTACTAATACATCTTACAATTAGTAATGTTTTTTCTTTGGATGTGTAGTATTGATAGAGAACGAGGCGTAATGCCGTTTTTGTTGTTATGTTGACGGTATATTCTGGCTGTGGAAGCCGGAAATCGGAGCACCGGTGTCAATAGACTGAGCGGAAGCTATTGAATCCGGACTCTGTAGTGAAGCACTGTATGCAGGATTCATGGGGGTCGTTCCACCGGCCTCAAACAATGTGCTGTCGTAGACGCTGTTACTCTGCTGAAATATTCAACGTGAGGTCTATATCTTTCATGGTATATTTATTTATTTATTGCTTAGATGGGTGGGCGAGCTCACAGCCCACCTGGTGTTAAGTGGTCACTGGAGCTCACAGACATCTACAACGTAAATGCCGCCACCCACCTTGCGATCTTGAGATATTTAATTCTAAGGTTTCAGTATAGTTACAACGGCTGCCCCGCCCTTCAAGCCGAACCTCACGAATAAAAAATTTAAAACCAGGCATGGTCTCTTTTAGTTTGCAGTCATTATTATACAAAGTATTTGATAACTTACTTGATAGATGTAATCAGAATCTGTTTTGAGAGAGCTGAAGCTCTGCTGGTGAGGAAGAGACACTTGATCGTCGTCCATTGGCTCATCCATTTGAGCCTTGTACGAGAACATTATGCTTGGTTGTGACACACTGAAATTGTTTAAATTAATGATTTAGTAATAGACATTTAACTATATGGAATAAGAGTATAGTCTTATGTTTAAAGCTTATAGATATCGACGCTTGAAAGGCAAAAGTGACTAAGTGACAATGCGTGAACTTTACAGTAGACTAATTTAAAGTTGAAATTCCTGAAAACAAAATTTATTTTAACGAATCTAGCTGTAGTACGACGCTTGAAAGGCAAAAGTGACTAAGTGACAATGCGTGAACTTTACAGTAGACTAATTTAAAGTTGAAATTCCTGAAAACAAAATTTATTTTAACGAATCTAGCTGTAGTAGAATCTGCTAGTAGCTGTAGGATTGGAATGATTTTAATAGACCTAGAAATATATTTTTTTTGTGCATCAGTATGGTTATTGCCTATCATTTATGTACAAAGCAGTTATTGTCGCTTAGTCACGTTTGCCTTTCAAGCGTCGATATGATGATAAAGATGTTCTGATTAATGTCTGCAGTTGTGATTAAGCTAACTGTAAATTAGTATCATTCCTGAAATTTTACTAAGAATTTATTAATTAATAAAATAAGAGCAACATTCAAAAATTAGCTTTTGATTATCAGTTGATTTAGAAATACAAACTAGCTAGGGCATTATAAATGTGGGTATCTGTGGAGTCTTCTGGAAAGAGCATACAGGATAAGATTACTCTGTTTATTATCAGATTTTATGCTTAGTACTGTCATTAGTTGCAGCATTTGCTGAGTTTGGCATCCAAGGAGAAGCATGTCTTAACACGGGTGGTGGCATTCCGATGTGTATGGACACCGGCAAACACATAGCATCTAATCTTCAATTTATCAGTCCACTTTGGCTTATAAAACAACAAACATTATAAAAAGTAACTTCATGGAAATTTTAATTGATAGTTTTCAAACTGGTGGTAGGACGGGGGACTCCGCACGGGTAGGTACCACCACCCCATATTTCCGCCGTGAAGCAATAATGCGTTTCGGTTCGAAGGGTGGGGTAGCCGTTGTAACCATAGTGAGACCTTAGAACTTATATCTAGAGGTGGGTGGCGCGTTTACGTTGTAGATGTCTATGGGCTCCAGTAACCACTTAACACCAGGTGGGCTGTTAGCTCGCCCACACATCTAAGCAATAACAAAAAAAAAACATTTATAGTTAAACATTTAGCATGGTAATAAAACATTTAAGTTTAGTTTCATTGTGATTAATTACATGCTATATGGACTATTTGGAGCTTACCTGAAAAATTCGCTTAGAAATGTGTGATAAACCAGTGGAGTGTATAGAGAAAAGTATAACCACGTTGTAACATCAACTACACACAATCCAGATTGCATATCACCCCAGGCCAGGAGTCCCGCTCCAACCGCTTGAGTAGCGTCCAATAGCGCCAGCAAGAACACATACAGGTAGAACGAGAGCTTTGCTGTAATAAAAATATTCATGTATTTATAATATTTCATTTGAACAAAAAACATTAAATGAAACAAACATTGAAGTCGTCGTGGCCTAAAGGATAAAACGTCCGGTGCATTCGTATGTAGCGATGCACCGGTGTTCGAATCCCGCAGGCGGGTACCAATTTTTCTAATGAAATACGTACTCAACAAATGTTCACGATTGTCTTCTACGGTGAAGGAATAACATCGTGTAATAAAAATCAAACCTGCAAAATTATAATTTGCGTAATCACTGGTGGTAGGACCTCTTGGGAGTCCGCACGGGTAGATACCACCACCCCGCCTATTTCCGCCGTGAAGCAGTAATGCGTTTCGGTTCGAAGGGTGGGGTAGCCGTTGTAACTATGTATACTGAGACCGTAGAACTTATATCTCAAGATGGGTGGCGCATTTACGTTGTAGATGTCTATGGGCTCCAGTAACCACTTAACATCAGGTGGGCTATGAGCTCGTCCAACAATCTAAGCAATGAAAAAAAAATGTCCTTAATTTTTTTCACATACAGTGTGAATATTATCTTTCAAGCCATAAAAATGAAATGTTATATTTAATTTGACATTAATTTGGAAATACACAGCTTTTTATTGCTCATGAAGAGTTATTTGAAAATCTTTCTTCTAGGCTTGTTTCAAATGTAGGATAGGAACTGTCCTACCACTTAGTGTAATGGAAATGAGACTTAGGTTTCATGTCTCAGGCTGAATAATAACAAAGGTTGTAGTATTTTTGAGTTCCTACAAAGAGCAGAGTCCAGTTTATACAGTAATATGACAATATTTAAAATAATTTACATAATAGTTATTGTGAAACATGCAGCATTTTGGCAAAAAAAAAAACAAGGATGATTTCTTTGATTGTAGGATGTAATTTAAAAGCATCTGTAATAGTATATGAGATATAGTGTATTACTAATTAAAATGAACTCTGTTACAAATCTGTATTATACATGTATTTTTATTGTACTTACATGGTAATGCTAAATATTCTCGCAGTGGGATCCAAGGCAGCAAAAGAATCACAAAATAAATAATTGCAAACACTACAGATGATGTAAACCAGAAAAGCATCCCTCCGTGGCCAAAGAGATCGTAATCTCTGGTTTCAATATGGAACATATCATCTGGCATCACAATTTCCAATGTGCCTTGTGTTACCGTAAAGGCTAACGATATAAGGGATGTTGCCAGTAACACATATCTTATACTGCTGCGACTGTCAAGATGACCTAAGAATCAGAAAAAATATGTAAAGTGATTCAAGTATTCAAGTGATGGTTATGTAATAAAAGTAATCTCATTAGAGACGTTATAAAAAAAACTGAGTATTCAATCTCCTTTGAAGTTTAGTGAAACCCCACAAGAAGGCTTATAAAAATATTATATATGTTTAAAGGTTTAAAGTTATTTAGCCTTACAATTTACTCTGTGCTCTGTTAGAAAATAAAAAAGCCTAGTAGAGCATATTGTGAGTCCACCCACACAGGTAGTTATAAACTCTTTGATTGTTTCTACAGAAATCATCATGCTTTCCAGTTTGAATGGTGGGACATCCATTATGCATTACAACTGAGACTTCAATCTGTCTCAGGTTTGGTGGCAGCACCCCTTTAGTGATATATGTGGACTGTTGTAACCACCTACAATACTATACAATAAACAGACAACTTTTGTACAAATCAACATACATGAATAAATGCACCTATTTTGTATGTTGTCCGATGACTGGTAACATATTAGGAAGCCATTATATAAATTGTTATTGTAAAGTTGTTCACTCACCAAAAGCTAATCCAAATATTACAACGCTCATTTCTGTTGCAAGTAGAAAAAACCTGACCATTACCCACAAAATCTTATCGATAAGCCCTCCCAAAGGCATTGCTGCATTAACAGTCATTGAAACTGCACATCTCACCAGACTTATTATCACGTTACCCCAGACCAATGCATAGAACGTTAAAAATATAGGGCTACTAGTGGCACGAAGCTTTAATTGAGCCTTATTAAACCTAGCCACTAGGAAAAGCACAAAGAGAGCATTTGGTATAAGAATGATCAAATCCCAGATACGGACCCTGAAAAACAAGAAAGTGAGCACAAAAAACGCAATGACTTAACACAAGGATACGTCGAAAAACTTACCTGGAATTGTTTATTTCATAGTATAGCACGTATTTACAAAACGTGTCCTCCTTCACGGGAGGCAAATCAGATCCGTTACTTCCATACATTTTTCCAACTTAGATTATGAATGTTTACAAATCATAACTTCACGTTTAACTCTCAGTTAAAAGCAAAAACGTAATGTCAACTTGTGCCTAGCATTATATATAAAAGGCCAGGAAAGAAAATTGAACGCTTTCTAATAATAATTAAATTTGTTGGCAATTACGACATCAATAAACGATCACTCAAAGTATTCTGCAAAATTAAAAGTGCTAGGTACCATACCAACATGAAAGTTTTTTTATTCGAGACTTTGTTGCAGACAAGACATTTCTTTATTTTTCCATTCTTTTCTTTGACATTGACAGCTTGACATTTAAATTGATTTTTAGTGTTGGAAATTTCAAGGAATTCAAACTACCTGTAAATACCTAAGTACATAACTTTAATTTGTAGGCTAAAAGGCTTATTACACTTGGCACTTTAGTCGACTGAATTCAGTCGCTACTCGCTACTGAATTCAGTGAAGTGTAATAGCATTGAGTAAGTTAGCCTACTAAATTCAGTAGCAAGGATGGTTTCTGACTGACTAAATCATTTAGAAGCCTAATTAGAAACGCATTTAGGAAGGTGTAATCACATTTAGTTACTTAATGATTTCGTCCCATAGCTCTCCGTGCGTAAGGACGTTTTAGTTTGTTTTTTACTTCTGAATAAAAAGTACTAATTTCAGACACCTTTATTTAATGTGCCAGACATTTATACATATACCGACATGTATATATAATAAGCCTTTAACTATTTCATACCGGGCGCTGTGAACTCGTTCAAGGCATTTTTTGCTTCTTAACGTTTTTTTTTTATTTTTTACATTTGGGCTCTTTCAGATACCAGACGGCACAATACCAACCACTGTGTGAAAGTGTTTATTATTTTAATATTAGCCACGAATATTGAGCACGGTGTCGGCTTCATGGAGAACAATGGGTTACTAATTTGTGTTTGCATATCCGTCATTTTTCAGACTGAATTAAGAATTTGTGTACTTTCTGATTTTCTAGAATCGTTTATTATTCATAGTTGTTTCACAAAAAAGAAGAAAACGTTGATTTCTCTAATTTTTTCCTTCTTGATTTGAAACACATTAAAAAGTTGTAGCTGCAAGTTGCAAGGAATCCTTTTTTACGAGGGCGGCACTGAAAATTTCGGGAATTAACGAAGTGACACAAGATTACTACTTAAATATGTATTTATTGCTTTTCGAAGTATTCTCCGCGAAATTTGACACATTTTTCCATACGATGGAACCAATCATTGAAGCAACCATTCCATTCGGAAGTTGGGGTCTCCAAAATGGCCGTTTTGTAGGCGTCCACAGTTTCTTCAGATGATGAAAATCTCTGTCCACGCAATTTATTCTTTATTTTAGGGAAAGTATAGAAATCATTAGGGCTTAGGTCGGGGCTGTACGGCGGATGGTCTAATAATTCTATGTTTTCTTGCTCTAAAAACTCTTTTGTTCTGTGCGCGGTGTGAGAACTCGCATTGTAGTGATGGAGGATCATGCGGCTGTTGCAGTTCTCTTTACGGAGTTCAGAAACGACCTGTGGCAAACAAATGCTAGCATACCATTCTGCATTAACCGTTGTTTGTCCCTCAAGAGGAATAGTCGTAACATGGCCGGTTTTGGAGACAAACGTGGCCACCATTTTTTTTGCAACACTCCGTGAACGAACATTGTTTGTTGGCTTTAACTCATTTTCGAACACCCAAACTCGTGACTGGTTTTTTGGTTTCGGGTTCGTACGCGTATATCCAGGATTCGTCACCTGATACAATGTTGTATACAGCATTTGAGGATCCTGCGTGGAATCTTTCGAGAGTTCTGACGCACCAAGTAACGCGAGCCGCTTTTTGCTCTTCACAGAGCGAATGCGGTATCCATCGGGAAAACAACTTTTTACACCTAATTGTTCATGCAAGATTATTTATATTTGACTCATGCCAATGTCTAAAATTGCCTGAATTTCGCGGTATGTCACATGTCGATCTTCCTCAATCAGCTTACGCACAGCATCAACGTTTTCTTGGGTGACTGCAGTTTTTGGACGACCTTCATCACCAAATGCAGAAATCATCCGGTGAACACACTGTTTTTGTGTTAAACCACTTCGAAAGTCATAATAAATCATCGCTCTTGAATTTTCTCGAGTCAATTCCATTTTCTCAACGACTAAACAAGTTTGACAAAACCTCGTGAGAAGACCGAGAATCTTTTTTTAAATAAATAAATGGTATTCGATTTTTAAAACCAAGGAGTTTTCAATTAAAAAGATTTTAATATGACAGGAACAGTGGAAATATTCCATTCCCGATACTTTTAGTGCAGCCTAGTATGAAAATAATTTTAACTTTATGCTAAGTAGAAGGTAGGGAAACTTTAAGCGAGAAAAAATTAACAAAGGCGTTAAAAGGAAACAAATGGATAAGCTAGGTAAAAACAAAATATGTACATAAACATATTAAATCTCAATTTGTTATTGATTATGAAAGAAGATAATACATTATTAAATAAAGGACAAAGCAAAAGGCAGGAGAGGAATCCATGTTTCTATGTTAAAATGTTCGCTGAGTATAAATAAAAAAAATGGGCTTTATCGATTCTATCATGGTTGTACCCGGCTAGTTAAAATCAAAAAATTTAAGATATTTTTTTTTTAAAGAGATTTTATGACCTGGTAACTAAGACCTTTAAGTCATGTATTATTTTACTTTATATTCTTAATTTTAAGAAAAATGATAATATGGAGTGAAATGAAATGAAGATGATTAATTTGAGACATTCATCAACTGGGATGAAATTTAATGAAATGAGATAATATGGGATGAAATATAATCGCAGTAAAATGGTGGTCATTTAATTTTACTGAGATTTTTATTTGGATGAGGAGAGCCGCAGACCGGGCTCAGTGGTGTGGATTGGGAGAGGCCTATGTCCAGCAGTGGACGACTGTGGGCTGTTGATGATGATGATGATGATGATGAGATTTTTTCAGTGGACTTTTTGGAGGAACCCGAGAAGTTACGTCCAGCAGCTTTGTTTCATTTTCCCACATTTGTGCACTTTCACAGATATTAAACAGTTAATAAACCACCTTTATTATACATTTAAACCTGAAAAAACACTAAATAGACAAAATAAAACAAATCACACAACTTCACTTCTCGCGTTCCCGCCAAAAAGTCATAATTTAAGATACGAATTGGAATTGCACAGAGTAGGTACTAACTGTACTAAGCGTATTAACAAATGAATGTTAAATATGGTGTAATCTGGGTTTCGAATATAACCTAAAATAAAATTGGAAAATTTAAATTTTCGGTGACCGAGAATCATTAACTTTATGTATTTCTCCTCATTCAAAATCAAATTAAATTAATACACAATATAGAACATGTCTCTGTTTCTAAATTATTTTTTGAAGACTTCTTTCAGCTGTAATCAACGATTGTTTTTACCCTGCAGGCAATTACATTCTACACAAGGTTTGTAAAATTAATATTTTAAAATTATAATGAAGCTAATTGAAACGATGGCATTAATGATATCATATAAATAGGTCCGGTCACCACATAAGCAGGTGGGCCCGGTGTCATTTACCACTAATATAGAGTAACATCGTTAATTAAAAATATTTCGAACGAAAACGTCTGAACGTTTATTCTGAGATAACATTTAAAAAAGGAAAGTTATATATAAAGATATGCTATTTCTAAAGATGTCATGATTTGACGAGTTTCTTTTGGAGAGTAGTTCACAAAAGGTAATTGTTAAAATATCTAAAATAATTTAATACAAAAAAACAAATCAAAACCATTATATTACAGATCAAGTAATTTATCAGTTATGTACGGTTTCTACTTCTACTCCACAGAAAAGTCCCACCTGATAATTGAGAAAATGATATTGACCTTATTAATATGTATCTAAGTGGGCAGTGGCATTCATAGACATCACAGCTGTTGTTTGATCAAGTCAATAGTAATTGTATTAATATATAAAACAGTATTTAATAATATCCTTTTACTTTTACAGTGAGGCTGCTGTATGCCCCTGCAACAATTGGAATAGATGGGTATTTACAGGCCAGGAAAAATGTCAAAGAACAATTTGTCAATTTCTCTGAGAAATTTAAAACTAAAATGAATGATTTTGTCTCCGATTCCAAAAACATGATATTCACTGAAGATTTGAAGAACATGGTTCATTTGGCAGAACCATCAGACTTGCAACTTGTACTAAATATGATTAAAAAGTAGGTTTTTTAATAAATTCAGAAAAAAAGATATTGATAAGATAAAACAAGTATTGATGGCCAACACATAATAAATAGAGACAATCAATCAATGAATAAAATTTAAAGTGAGATTCAGAGAATCTAAGAAACACTAAACTTTTTTGGCACTAATTAAATCTATTGCCATAATATTGCCACCTAATTGTATCAATTTCTATGTTGATAGAATCATTGGAATATTTTCATTTAAATTGTTTATTTGTCTAAATTAAATTCAAATATGTACTTAAATTGGAAAGCAGATAGAGAAAAAAAAGGCTTGTGAGTCTTCACAGATAGGATAACAAGAGAAAATAAAATGATGCAGAAATGCAATATTTTATGCATAGATTATGATTTTTAAATTATTTTGCAGCAAGATTTCATTGCAATAAGAAATGTTATAGTGCCCCGACTGAGATACATTTAAAATTTTAGATTCAACACACAAAGTACAGAGTTCAGATTTGGTTCATTCGTGTTTGGCCCAGTTGTAATGAGGATGTTTCATTTCTTAGATGCTCCTAAAGAAGCACTGCAGGTAAGTAATTTTATTTGGTTTATATCTAATAATAGGTGCAATTTGTTACAAACTCTGGCCTTCCAGTATTGTAAATAAACAGTCACTGGCCAGTTCAGCTTAGTACAGTGTAGGTAAAATTTTAGAGCTTTAATATGTAGATTAACTTGAAGGTTTTTTTTTTATAGGTTAGATGTGGACGAGCTCACAGCCCACCTGGTGTTAAGTGGTTACTGGAGCCCATAGACATCCAAAACGTAAATGCGCCACCCACTTTGAGATACAAGTTCTAAGGTCTCAAGTATAGGTGTAGTGTAGGAATGAAACCTTTTTGGAACCAGGTCTTTTTTGCTATGATATTGCTTCAATCCGGCTGTGATGTGATTTAGTGTTGAATGAGAATACATAAGAACCATAGAAATGGGGTGATTATTGCAGCACTTTACTGAAATTATTGTTATAAGGCAGGCAACGGCTTTGCGATCCACTGTCATTATAGATGTCCATGGGTATCTACAATCAAACACTAACCATCAGTTGGGCCCCAAAACATATTTTAATGTTGAAGATATTATGCAGCATGTAGCAACAGAAAGCAAAATTGTGTTAAAATTTTAATTTCTAATAAAATATGTTTTTTTTTGCAGTGTTTTGAAGAACCAGCAAATGATGGTTTTTTTGATCAACAAGTGTCATACCAGATATTACTTGATTTACTGTATTGTCATGAAATGTTTGATGAGATGTACAGGGTCTTTGAGAAAGTACAAAAGAAACAAATAAATATGACAAAGTTTCCTAAATACTGTGTGGTGTTGATAATGGCAGCTTGTTATAAAGAGGTATTTTTCCACATGTCTCGTTTATCTTCATATAGGAGAAATTTGTAGCCAACCGGAAATCATACAAATTGCCAATATCTTATTATGTCAAGAAGCAGTTAAGAAGCCAATTGTAGGCACTTAATGGTGGATATGCTGATAGTCACATACAGTTTGTATCTGTGGTTAATACTACTACTACTTTTGATAAACATTGTATGCAATAACTAAGAAACATAGTATCTGCCAGTGGATTTGAATTCAAGTATAGTCTCAACACTCAATATGAATCCATAAGGCATTCATCTGACTATGGTTGCCAACTGTACCACCATGAACTGTTGTAGTTCTTTCTACTGTCCTGAAGCACATATTATTTGAGTATATTATTTTATTGCATCATTTATACATATAATATGTGTACTCACCTTTTATGAAGTTAATGCCCACCCTTTACATTGTTCTTTATTATTTCATTTTTAGAATACACCAAAAAGTTTAGAATATGCAACAAAACTATGGTCAGATATGGCTTCAACGGGAACATTACCACTCAGAAGAGCGGCGACTTCTTTTGCTGGTCAGTATATCAATAGTTACGAAAAATCGTATATGTACACACTTTCTTCTTCTTCTTCGTCGCTTTCTTCATTACTGAAGGTCGTCGCCCTGAAACTTGACCGTGGCCTGTCTCGTGAGCTGTTTCCATCTCGTCCGGTCCTCAGCTTCTCGAATGGCGGTTGCGACTGGCAACCCAGTTAGAGCGGTTATTTGATCACACCAACGGCTAGGTAATCGGCCGCGGGGTCTCTTTCCTTCTACTTTGCCCATCACAATCACTTTGTCCAAGTTATCTGATTGTTGGCGGGCAATATGACCGAAGTAGCTGACGATCCTATGGTAACAGATTGTTGAGAGTCTGACTCGGATCCGAAGCTGATCCAGGATAGATTTATTTATCCTCTTGGCCGTCCACGGAATTCGGACACACACTCAAGTATAAAATACAAAGTAATATTTTCTACATAATACAGATCATTATGTGGTGGTAGCTGGGTATTAGGGAATTAAAAGTCCGGTACTGTATGTACTGAGTTGATGATATAATCATTAAAAGTATTGCGATAATGCTACTTTGTACTTACAAGCAGTGTATTATAATATTATTTTTAATTTTTATTTCACATGATGGTGAGTGGTTATCTTCGCCCATGCACTTCAGCAATGCCAGGAGCAGAGCTAATTTGCTGCCTACGATACTACCAGTATCTCAAACATCTGTTGGCACATAGGTTGTCTGGCTTTGCGTTTTCGATTACCCTGACTTTAAAACAATATCTATACTAATATTATGAAGAGGAAAGATTTGTTTGTTTGTTTGTATTGAATAGGCTCCGAAAGTGCTGAACTGATTAGAAAAAATTTTTCACTGTTTGGAAGCTACACTACTCCCTAGTGACATAGTCTATAATCTTTTTTGAAAAAAATTAGGGATCCTTACTAAAACTCCAATAATGTAACCCAAGGTGTAAAAAAATTACCTAAAATATTCTTTACATCGCATACCCTGCGAAAACTATTAATGATAGAATAACATAATGTACTAAGACTTTGTAGAACACATTATTATTTACAAAAAGTGTCGTGACAACATATGTCTAACTGTTATCGTTATGCCGCAATAAGTGTTCTTTTATTTTAAAAAACAAAACAATGTCATATATCGTTGAAATTTTTGTCAAAGACCCGAGAGAAGCCGGAGCGGGCCGCTAATCGTGTAATAAATGACTTATCAATAAATGTAATTTTGAAAATATTATCCAACAAAAAAAAAAATTGTAGAGGAATATAAAATAAATAAAACAACAATTTGGGATAATCTGTTTGCAGGACTCGCATTAAAACAGGGAGCTCCTCACATCGCCTTGGAATCAATATCAGGCCAACGACAGCATTATATCACAATTAGAAATATTAAGGTATCAATTTGGTAATTCTGAATTTCAAGCTAATAAGTTTTCCGACTTATACGAAGCTCAACCTGACAGAATAAATTACTGAAGATTTGCTCACTAGATTAACGGGGCCCGTAGTCATAGCAATATGAATGTCACTGCCCATCTTAAGGCGTGAGTTCGGAGTTGCTTTACATAATGGTTATACCGGTTTTCAAATCGAAACCAAAGCGCATGAGTGCAGATGGCAGAAATAGGATGATGACAATTTTATTTATTTATTTATTGCGTAGATGGGTGGGCGAGCTCACAGCCCACCTGGTGTTAAGTGGTTACTGGAGCCCATAGACATCTACGACGTAAATGCGCTACCCACCTTGAGATATAACTTCTAAGGTCTCAGTATAGTTACAACAGCTGCCCCACCCTTCAAACCGAAACGCATTACTGCTTCACGGCAGAAATAGCAGGGTGGTGGTACCTACCCGTGCGGACTCACTAGAGGTCCTACCAACAGAAAAGTTGCCCTTGCAATTTCATAATATATTTAAAATCTTATCATCTACGTTTCGAGACAAGATTTGATTGTGATGTTTTTTATACTAACAAACCACGTTACTATTTTTTTGAAGAAGGCCAAGTGACATCAGCTGTTGTTAACATTATTGAATAAATTGAACAGTTCTTAAATAAATACAAGATTTTATTGCAGGCCATGGCTCTAGCTGATATGGGCAGAGTGGACGACGCAATACCGATATTACGAAGTGTATTAAACATCGATTCACCCGATCAGAAAGACAAGCACACATTCTTTGAAGAAACTGTAAGTCACCATCAAGGAGATTCATAATTTGTTTAGTGGTTAGCCCACTGAGTTTCTCGCCGGATCTTCTCAGTGGGTCGCGCTTCCGATCCGGTGGTAGATTCTGCGAAGCACTGCTCTTGCTAGGGTCAGTGTTAGCCAACTCTCCGGTTTGAGCCCCGTGAGCTCACCTACAAACGTTACGGTGAAGCTGAAATAGCCTCCTAAGGCTATCAGCATAGGAAGGAACTAAAAAAAAAAAAAATTAGTGGTTAATTACCGCTACTCTGTCTTAGGGTCCCGACTATATTTTCTATCTAAGACCTTATATTTCCATCCATATTTTCCATTTTTCTTTAAGATATTTGGTATTTGAGTGTAATTGGTGTATTTTCTCATGCGTTTCCGATTGAATTTGGTAAATGTTTGTTTGTTATCGGATATCGGATTTTTTACTGGTGATAGGAACTCTTGTGAGTCCGCACGGGTAGGTACCACCACCCTGCCTATTTCAGCCGTGAAGCAGTAATGCGTTTCGGTTTGAAAGATGGGGCAGCTGTTGTAACTATACTGAGACCTTAGAACTTATATCTCAAGGTGGGTGGCGCATTTATGTGGTAGATGTCTATGGGCTCCAGTAACCACTTAGCACCAGGTGGGCTGTGAGCTATTCCACCAATCTAAGCAATAAAAAAAAATACAATCAATACAATGTTAACCTTCAATCCGTTATTGGTAAATTATAGAAAAAATTAAAAAATTTGTTTTCTTAACAGATATCCAAAGTTGGTGAAGCAGTTGAAAAAACGAACAACAAGGATACCAAGATCGAATTCGAGGATGTCAGGAAGGCACTTATAGAGAGAGGACTCATTGATAAGGATGTAAGTTCATAAGTACATATCGAGGGCTAAAATGTTAGGTTAAGCTCGCGTTTCGCTTAACACGCGACATTTAACTTTGTAATTAAAGGTACGTTTTATTTGGTATTAGCGTCAACAGTTCGATGTTTTTAATTGAACTTTAATTAAGTTTACTCCATTGAAATGACCGAAGAAGTTTGTTTGTTATGATATTTTTTTCAAATGTTTAATTTTAAATGGCTCTCCTGTAGAGTTGCAAAAATTTCGCTCAAAACCTCAATCTTTTCACCCCTCGATATGTTGCAAAAATTAAAATTGTCAATTTTAATAATGTTTTGTTGTACGGAGAGGATTTAAGTGGGCAACTTAACAGTATAAGTAAACATAAATCATTTGAATTGAAAATACTAAATGTCGTATCTTCTACGATTATATTACGGCTATAGACATAATAAAAACTACTTTTACTGTTTAATCCTGCATTCAATTCACACACGATTGAAATTAAAAAAAAAAAATTTTTTTTTTCTTATTTATTCATTATTATTATTGTTTTTGGCATTGGATTGGTCACACATTAAGAAAGCCTAATACCTATCTATCTAAGAGAACACTGACCTGGAAAGTGTGGCAAAAGAAAGAGAGTCCATCCAAGAACAACTTTGTTCAGTAGAGCAGGAACTGGGCGTCTTGGGTACGACGTGGGAGGTGCTAGAATAGACTGCCCAATACCAATGGATTGGACCAATGGAAGAATTTGATTCGAGCCCTACGCCCCAGCAGAGGGTAGATAGAAAGAAGAAGAACAATGCGTACGCTAACTATTACGATTTATCATCAACTTAGACGTCTGAGTCCCTAAAACCTGTGGAGTATTCGAAACATCGGAAATATTAAAGAGAAAATAATAGACCCAAGTGTATTCTTATTTTACAATTGACTAGTGGTTATTTTGATATGGCTAGAACTAGACAGGCGATGAATTTCCCGGTCCAAGAAACTTTTTGACGTGACAACGTCTTATAATTCGATGGAGCCGGCTGCACGCACGAAAAAACATGACTCATGCGGCGTTACCTCTCTCTGAGGCGTTCCATTTAAGGCTTGAAGTGCAAGCGAGAGCGCGCAACGAGCGACAAAGAGGCACAATCGGCCTCCGCGTTCGGCAGCGTTCGACATCTGTCTCTCTCCTACTTGAGGGAGCGATGCATCCGCGTGGACAGCTGCTATACAATAATACATTTACATGTTTTCGTCAAGTATGAAGTTCAGTGAATGTGTTGTCAATTGTTTATAGCAACGATAATTGCGATAATTGAAAAATGAAACCATTCCATCAGTATTTTCTTATGACGTTGTTACGTTCAACTATCGTCAGTAAACCAACTTTACAGACAACCCATTTTTTTAGAGTCGTACATCGAAAAGAGTCCTTCTGTTAAATATAAATATACGTAATAAATATGCTATATAGAAAATAAGGCTAGCCGTGAACTTGACTTTCCTTTAATTTAATAAACAAAAAACTTCTTTTCAGACTCTCGACAGTCATCTGAATTTTGAAATTAAAATACAAAACAAGTTTAAGGATGCACCACGTGGAATGCCTTTTCAATCGAGAAACATGCCGTTTGGCCAACGAAAAATTAGGAAGGATTTGCAATAGTTACTAAATTATTAATAAATAAAAATGTGAGAATGGACTGTGTAAAAGCTATCATCAAAACTGATTGAGCTGTAGGTACCTGAAAATAAGGCATGAAAATTACATTGTAACATAATATATTAAACGTTAATATTATGTTAAATCGTTTTGTTTTTAATTTTAACCCAACTCCTGAGTTTTTCCTTTATTGATTTATTGTATTATTAATGAATAATTTTAAAAAAATATTAGATTACTGCACTCCTTCTCTATATTCTTTATAAGTCTGGGAAATTTCATACTCCTCCGTCCACGCAATTTTCGCAGAAGGGGTACAAAGTTTTTGCTTCACGTATTAATATATAGATATGGAATAACAAACCAATATTAAAGCCTTCGTCAAACAGAACGCGTACTTAGCGCCGCGTACTAAACGTTGCGCTCTTTTCATGTCACACCAATTGACTAGATGAGTAACGCTCCTTGACGCAACGCATTCGCCAAATCATAGCAGTGCCTTTCGATAGCAGTGTGAAGATTTAAAAGTATTAAGAAATCGAGTGATTCAGATGTGGCATTGTATAAGCATGGGTATTTTCTAACTATTGATATCATTTTTTCGGGCATTATCTAGTATTTTAATACACATTCACTCGGACGCTAAAATAAAATTTGTTAAAAATTACAACGCCTGACGTCAAAGCGTCCTAACGCCGCGACATAGCGCTGCGTACTTATAGCGCTGGGGCTCTGTTTGACGGTATGTTACCATAGTAGTACAACACATCTCGGCGTCATAGCGAGGCGTCAATTTAGCGCTCTGACGCGCGCTAACTACGCGTTCTGTTTGACGAAGGCTTAAACCTTTTTGCGAAATGCTTATCAAAATTGTTTAAAAATGACGTTTAATTAAAGAATGTCGTATTTCCAAGATGGCATAGAATGAGAAAGCGTGTTGGAAATATCGACTATCTCTCTCGCGCGTCCCGAACATAATTGCAATGACAATTGACAACACGTAATATTGCTTGCATCCATGGTAGCGGGTACTTAGCTATCACACAAGACGCCTGCACCCGCCTCCTCGTGCTCCGACTCTGACTCGGACATGGAGGTCGACCTCGCCCCCGCCTCATCGACGGATGGATTCACCCTGGTACAGAAGGGTAAGAAGCGTGCCGCGGAGTCTCGAGCTCCCGCGGCCGCTAAAATTAGCAAAGCCGTGAACGCGTCGCGCCCCCGCCCTCAGACTCCCGTTGCNAAAAAAAAATATCACACAAGACAAGATATTTTACAGATACTTGAATCTTGCTAACGACATTTTTAAGATAAGTTTTCACAAATACAAGTTCCGAACAATAAAATTTAGATCGTCGGTCAACCGAGCAATTTCACCCGTTCGGTTAAAAACTTTTGATGAAGCTTTTACACCTATACTTATTCTATTTTGTCCGCGCACTTACCAGTCTAGACGTCTTTGGTCGTTATCTCCAAACTTTGTTTGCCAGTGGCGACAAAAATATATTTAAAATATTTTTGAGGAAATTTATGAAAGAATGTTGATATAATTATGTATATGCTATTCTAAAATTTGGGTAGGTAAATCTAATTACTTCGGGCATCTGTCTATTACGGTGATTCGTTTTAGCCAGCTACGTGCAACAAAAATACTGAACAATTTTTCTTGAATCCCGCCACTAACTCAATCACAAGACATGAGGTAGGTACTTATAAGAATTTAGATTCTGAATTCTTTCAGTGTTAGATAGCCCATTTATTGAGGAAGGCAATATATAGGCACGCTTAGATCAATACGATAGGAGCACTAATAAAGAATGCTTTAAAATCGAGTATTTTTTGCTGTTTGAAACTTTTGAAAGCTTCCGTTGCGTGCGCTGCGAAAAGGGTTAGTTTCGCTAAAATAATGTATGACAGAATTGTTCCCTTTAAAAGTTCTAAAGAAGTCTGCGACAGCATATGTGTATGTTTTAAGGTTGGCTCACCATAAACTTTTTTATGTTAACCAAATTTGTACTAAAATAAGCAATATTCGGGAAGGTGTTTTTATAAATATGATATTAATCCTTATCCGAATAAATACGTTATTCATTACAAGTATTTCATTTAAAAGAAATTTTGGCCTTTACATCATTTGATATCAATGAGTGTCTTAGAAGATATCGCAGTTTTAAAATAAAATCGCAGCAAAATAATAAGCGCGTAATAATGATGTACAAAGCGCCGGCCAACCGGTGCGCGACGGCACAGAATAAGAAGAATAACAAGAAACCCAAATCACTTCAAGATAGGCTTTGAAAATTGTAAATTTTTCTCGATTTATCCAGGATCACATCATCAGATCCTGGTGCTGATGATTACCGGACCATTCGGAAAGTCTGCCCTTTCGAACAAAAAAAAGAAAAAATAATTATCAGAATCGGTTCAAGCATTTTCGAGAAGTCGGTGAACATTTTTTTTTTGCTTAAATGTGTGGACGAGCTCACAGCCCACCTGGTCTTAAGTGGTTACTGGAGCCCATTGACATCTACAACGTAAATGCGCCACTCATCTTGAGATATAAGTTCTAAGATCTCAGTATAGTTACAACGGCTGCCCCACCCTTCAAACCGAAACGCATTACTGCTTCACGACAGAAATAGGCAGGGCGGTGGTACAAGGGCGGATCCAGCTTTGGTGCCAGGAGGGGGTCACATAGTCATGGTCAAGTCAAGAACTTATAATTTAATTTTGATAACAATAGATACAAGTAAAAAGTAGGTATTTTATTATAAGCACATTAAAGGTATAAATAAATTTTAGTTTTTTAACTTAGAACTATGTTATGATATGTTGAAGTTTAGTCGTTCCGATTNTCATATAAAAATGACAGATTCCAAATTCAAATGTAATATTTTGTTTATTTTTAATTGTAACAGTATTTATGGCCAGACTAAGTATTGTGTCCTTAAATCATTATGTTCAATATGTGGTCCACCTAGGTCCCGGAACCAGCTCAGGGGGGGGTCATGACCCCCATGACCCCCCCCCTGGATCCGCCCTTGCGGTGGTACCTACCCGCGCGGACTAACAAGAGGTCCTACCACCACCTAATATTTACAATTATAAAGAAAACATTAAAATTTAAAATAAATTGATGCATAGAAAAAGTATTTATTGAATTCCACTAATATTCTGGGGTTAATTTGTTTTGAGTACCCAATTTTGTTGTTCAAGAGAAATCTCTTAATTCTTTATTAACTCATCGTCGATTACAAGCGTGATTCGAAATCCGGAACAATGAAATAATTAAAGTTTATAACGTAAACAACTGACAGTCGTCGATTGAAACGAACCTCTGAGGCTTTTCATCGAAATCATTCGACTTAATCTCAGTTAAGCAATGAAAATGTCGTGTTCCGAAATGGAATTGGAAGAGGGACAAGAGGCCAAAGTGTCCTCGAGACTATTTGTTTACGGATCAGTGTACTTAAGACCCACAAAGACAATCTGAGCGTGCCCGCTTTATTTTTGGGCGGATTAACCAGCGGAACCGGAAAAGGCAACAAGTTAAGCAATTCGAACTGAAACTTAAGTTGTTTTGATAAAGTAAAATTGGTGGTCAGTGTTTAAACTCTAGCTGTGTTTCTCATACTTATTTTATTGCTTAGATAGGTGGACGAGCTCAAAACAAATGTTCACGATTGACTTCCACAGTGAAGGAATAACATCGTGTAATAAAAATCAAACCCGCAAAAATTATAATTTGCGTAATTGCTGGTGATAGGACCTCTTGTGAGTCCGCACGGGTAGGTACCACCGCTCTGCATATTTCTGCCGTGAAGCAGTAATGCGTTTCGGCTTAAAGGGCGGGGCAGCCGTTGTAACTATACTGAGACCTGAGAACTTATATCACGAGGTGGGTGACGCATTTACGTTGTAGATTTCTGTTGACTTCAGTAGTCATTTAACACCAGGTGGGCTGTGAGCTCGTCTAACCATCTAAACAAGAAAAAAAAACCTAACGAATCGAATTTCAAACGATTAGAAAATAATCATTTGAAAATGATTTCCTGGAAAAAGAACATATTAACAGAATTTGTTCATTTACAATCTGTGTTATTTTCCCATAGTATTCTATGTATTATACTTATTCGGGAGTCAACATTCAAATCAGCAACCTATTAATTCTGCAGACTCAATTAGGTACCTACACATCTTAAGAAAATCAATGTAACATAGTGGGTTCCCAAAATTGCGGCTAACCAGCGCTGCCGTGTTCTGCAGATAATTGCTTTTATGTCGATATTATTGTCTTCGATGAAGGAATATGTTCCTTGGTATGTGGGATTTGATTTTGATAATTATTATGGGATCTGTTCTTATATTAAAAACGCTTACTGAACAACAATATAAGAACTAAATTTCAATAATTTGATTCAAACTACTTTTCGAACAGCTTCTATTAGTATTACTGACTTTGATGAGCAACGGTGATCACTCGTATGAGAAAGAAAAACCTTATTTTGAAACATTGTTTATTAGTGCTCTCCAGGTGTGTTTATTAGTGCTATTAGTCCACTAACGGTGCTTTTAGGTACTTCAAGCACCGGTCACCGTTCTCGTCGAACCCGTCGCTTGCGACGAAGGGCTCGACGAGTAAATTAACTCTCAGACACTGCCCACTGAGTTTCTCGCCGGATCTTCTCAGTGGGTCGCGTTTCCGATCCGGTGGTAGATTCTGCGAAGCACGGCTCTTGCTAGGGTTCGTGTTAGCATCGTCATCAGGTTTGAGCCCCGTGAGCTCACCTACTAGCCACGGTTACGCTAAAATAGCCTCTCAAGGCTATCAGCTTAGGTAGGAAAAAAAAAAACCAAACAAACAAACTTGTCAGCTTTAATATAAGTAAAGATTAATGTATTCACAATGTACTTCCCAAACGTACATAATACGAATCACATAAATATCGCATTGGCTCTGCGCCTAATGGTGTCGGTTTCCATATAGGCTTCCGGGAAAATTGCCAAAACTTAATCCAATTATTTGAACATTTATATGTTGCTGTTGATGGACAGAACCGCAAGGCATGTCTGTTTCTTAGTAGAAAAATAGAGAAGCA